AAAAAAAAAAAAAAAAAAATCAAAAAAAAAACCCCCCCCCCCCCCCCCCCCCCCCCCCCCTTTTGAAATTGATGGCTACAAGCCTGTTTAACCACACATTTTAATAATTGTCTTATTTAAAGTCCTTCTTTTGTTACAGGTGCACAGCTTGCGGTCACTGTCCATCGTCCAGCAGAACTTCGGCCAGACCACTGACCATCAGCAGACCCTCAGCAAGCTGCAGTCATTGAAGCAGAAATACAATTTAGGCTCTGAGGATGAGGAGGAGAGTGAGGAGGAGGAGGGAGAGAGTCAGGAGACTGGGAGGGATGAGGAAGAGGACATCAACTGGGATGACTTGACAGATTCTGGTGAGATAATTGGTGAATAGTTAAGGAAGGGGAACCAGACATGAGCTTTTTCCATGGAAACGCGGAATTCCGCATTTTTTAATTCAATTATGACGATTCTGGCTGGTTAGCTGTTGGGTCCAAGGATAAGTTTTTTTTTTTTTTTAACCTAGGCTCGTGTCTGGTAAACACATTTTACTCCCCAGGCCCGGTTTCACCAAAAAACTTAAGTCAGGTTCCCTGGGTAGGAACTCAATTACCAAGTTTACATGGTCACATGGGCACATCTTACCTTATCAGAAGCAGTGTAACGGCACTCTCATGGAAATTCTAGTCTGCTAAGCCAGGGAACTGACTTAAGTTTTTTTTTTGTGTGTGTGTGAAACTGGGGCCTGAAGTGCTGTTCATTCAGAAAGACTTGATAATTTCATAGTCTAGGAGGAAGTGATAAGACTGGAATTACTTGACCAATTTTGATGAGACTGTGAACTATAGAACAGAAAGTAGAATGGAAAACTTTGTAAGAAAATTCATAGTTCCACAAGCACCTGCACTTGTTCTACAAATAAGAATGTCACCAGAGCAATATCTTGTCAGTCTTTCGATAAATTTCTTTAGCCTAATTTAATTATTTATTATATTTAGCTACCTCTTTATATGGATGCTCGAAAACAGAAATTAAGAAAAAATAATGTTTTTCCTAAGAAAGTTGTCATCTTCATTGTATTAATTGACAGATGATTCAGAAGATGAAGAAAGCAGTAGCACAACAACTAGAAGAGTTAGCAAAACAAGAAGAATCACCAAACCCAAGGTTTGTTCATATCTTTTCGTTTTAAAATTTTTCAGTCCACTCACAAAAAAAGGTTCAATTTTTTCCTTTTTTGAAATGGACAGGCCAAACCCAGAAGTTATAAAAACTTTCATTTTTTATTATTTTGATATTAAAGCATGTAAGTTATCTTAGTAAAACACAAAACAAATGCATGTGTGAAAAAGGTGTATTTATAGATAATCAGCTTATTAATTTGTCAGGTATTACGTGGTGGTTTAACCAAGAAAAAAAATACTATCTTAGTGAAGTGTGTAAATTTTTCAATCTGTCATAATTTTTTCGAATTTATTTTAGGTGAATGAGAAAGGGGAGACACCTCTTCATAGAGCATGTATTGAGGGGAACCTAAACAGAGTGAAGAAATTACTGGAAGAGGTACTAACTAGACTTTCTTACTGTACATTGTGAGGATTGTGGTTTTCCATCTTTGGGAAGATTTGCTACAAAAATTGATCTATTTATCCTCCTCTAGTTCTCCATTTTCCTTGTTTTTTCTTTGCTTATATTTTCTTGTGCCTGAGATTTATGCCTTGATTTTTGTCCCCCAGGGTCACCCTGTGAACCCTAGGGACTACTGTGGCTGGCTTCCACTGCATGAGGCCTGCAACCATGACTATGTGGAGATAGTGGAGTGCCTGTTAGACCATGGGGCCAGGTAAATACTGAGAGAAACAGGAAGAGGGGAGAGGGCATGTTAGTGGAAAGCTTATTTCATATTGCTCTACATGTGTGTGTGTGTGTGTGTGTGTGTGTGTGTGTGTGTGTGTGTGTGTGTGTGTGTGTGTGTGTGTGTGTGTGTGTGTGTGTGTGTCAGAGAGAGAGAGTTGTATAGACAAGATAGCACAGTATTACAAAGAATGCTGTGTATACTTTAGCATGTCTGTGTTTGTGTGTGTGTGAAGAGATATGTCATTTGAATTAATAGTTACACACATAAGAATTCCACTTTAAGCTTTACTTTCACTACATAGGGTTTACCGGTATTGTGGTTTAGGGTAAAAAAAAATATACAAACATATATGTGAGTTTTATGTCTATTTTTCAATTTTTTAAGAATTGATGACCGCGGAGGTGAGCACTGTGGCGGTATCACACCAATACATGATGCTGCAAACTGTGGGAATGTAGCTGTAGTCCGACTGCTCATTGAGAGGGGGGCCAACATACAGGCCAAAGATGATGATGTGAGTATCAGAAACACAGGGCACTGTGACTGTCTGTATATTAAACACCTCATGTTTTTTTAAAAGGTGCAAGCTTTGTGATGATTTTCCTCCAGGACTTAAGAGAGAGCACATCTTAAAGCCAGTTTAGAAAAGGCGTAACTGAAACAGAAAAAGTTCAACATGAAATACTTCTGTATCCTAATGGCTAAACAGCATTATTCTTATTTTCAATCACTTATTTTTCAGGGCAACACTCCCTTAGCCAGCCTATCAGAGTACAGACGTAGAGCTGGTGCGGAACTTGATGCACAGACAATTGCCGAAATCAAAAATTTAGAGAAAGATTTAAAGAACAGAGCTGGAGGTATGGTTCCCTCCTTTAGAATGCACTGAACTGCTTATATGAACTACTATGTAACTAGGCTCACATACAGAGAAAATAAATAAATAAATAGATAAATAAATAAATAAATATTAAATACACAGGATGCTTGTCATAATTAAGACCTAGATTAAAAAAATACCCCTATCCATGATTTGGTTTAGCCCCCCCCCCCCAAAAAAAAAAAAAAAAAAAAAAAAAAAAAAAANTAGAAAAAGCATAACTGAAACAGAAAAACATGAAATACTTCTGTATCCTAATGGCTAAACAGCATTATTCTTATTTTTAATCACTCATTTTTCAGGGCAACACTCCCTTAGCCAGCCTATCAGAGTACAGACGTAGAGCTGGTGCGGAACTTGATGCACAGACAATTGCCGAAATCAAAAATTTGGAGAAAGATTTAAAGAACAGAGCTGGAGGTATGGTTCTCTCCTTTAGAATGCACTGAACTGCTTATATGAACTACGATGTAACTAGACTCACATAAAGAGAAAATAAATAAATAAATAAATAAATAAATAAATAAATATTAAATACACAGGATGCTTGTCATAATTAAGACCTAAATAAAAAAAATACCCCTATCCAGGCTTTGGTTTAGGCAAATTAAAAAATAAAAACTTAAATCAGTTCCAGTGGCTAATATCTTTGTAACCAGGAACAATGTTACAGCACTTTCATGGACACATGAACACATCCTTAGCCTGGGAACTGACTCAATTTTTTTTTTTTTTTTTTTTTTTGTGAAACTGGGACCTGCATCTTATGACTTGGTCTGTGGCTGTTTTAGGTCAGTTTACCCGGTCCAGACCTCCCTCGGATGTCAACAGAAGACTGCAGCAGACAAGCAGAGGACCAGGGAGCGACAGTGAAGATGATCTGCCAGACCTGCCTCTCAGGAAAAAAAGGACAAGGAGAACCACTGGTGATCACAGTAGAAGGTAAAATGTGGATGGTGAATATGTGCCAAAAAACTTGTTAGCCTACTGAACCTGAAAGCCATCAGAGTCTAAAGAATATACTGACCCAAGTCAGAACAATTGGATACTAACTGATCAATTTACATAATAATACTGGCCAGGCTTCAGTTTCACTGGCATTTGATGTGGGGACCACTGCTGACATTACAGACTTGGGGTGCTTTCCCAGAGATTTAGATCGATCAAAAGATTAAGATTTAGATCGACCTAACTCCCTGGGGGTTCACGCTAAATTGCAGTCAGCCGAGCGGGCACCATAGTTAATTACCCCCTTGAGCTGACAGTAATCTAGTGAGACTCCCCACAGGGATAGATGATCTAAAAATCTATGGAAATGGGGTGCTGGTGACTGGTCTTTGGCAAGTCAGTAAATAACTCAGTTGGGCATCAACATTGTCAAAGCTTTTTAAAATAAGGTTGATATCCACCTCAAATTTTGAAAGTCCCACAAGGATAAAAATATATGAGAATTTAAATTATTGCATTAACCTGTTGTATGATTCCAGAGCACAAGAAGATGACTTGAGGTCTTGTAGTCAGAGAAGTGGACAGTCTGATGGATCAGATGTCAATTTGCTTGACCTTAGTCCAGACAGAAAGTATGGTCACACTCTGCAACCTACTGCTCAGAACTGTACTAACTTTAAAAAAGAATGTTCTACCCCATCTTTAAAAATCTCAGCAGTTTGGTAGATAATGACATTGAAGATACTTTTTTGTCACAAACTAATTACAAAATTTTTATCAATCACATAAAATATTTTGATGGACCATCTCAATTGGCCATCCTCTTCAGTCTCTGAGAGACACATTTTTGTGTTGACCTTTATGATGACCTCTTAAGTGCCACAATTGTGTCACAAATACGCTCGACTATATGACACAGTGCCATCTGTGGTAATACTGATTTTATAGAAACTTGTTGTGGATATATGAAATGTAATAATGTTCAGATCTTGTATTTAAATTCTTTTTATTCAGGTCAGATTTGGAAAACATGGAAGAAAGTGAAGAAGTGTTCCCTTTCTCTGATGTCCAAACTGTGGCTCCAATAGAATCAGCAGAGGCTGCTAGAACTGCCTATCAGAATGCTATCTCTGGTGTGGGAAGTTCTGCTGTGAGAAACCAGATACAGACAACACAGAGAGAGCCATCCCATAATAGTCACAGCACAACTCCTGCTTTGCTCGCAGAAAATGAATTTGTGGATGATGATTGGTTGATTGATGACATGAGACCCTCAAAGAAAATGAGGATTGATACAAACAGCTTCTGTACAGGAACTAGGATGAGAAATAATGAGAAAAGAAAATATGATGGTAGTCATGACGGATATGAAAGAAATAAGCGTTTACATAAAGACAAAGGAGAGATCAACACCCAAATCTTGGTTGACATTGACAGTTTTGGTGAGGACAGTGAGAATTCTTCAAACTGTGATACTCTCCCTTTACCTAACTTTCAAGGTTCTGATATGGAAAATGACATGGGATTGGGGAGTTTAGCAGATCTGGACGAGTTCGACCCAGGAGGCAGAACAAGCACCCAGCGCCCTGTGAGAACTCAGAGCAAATCTAAAAGAACAAGGCAGTTAAAACTGACCAGTTATGGTCTGGGGCAAGGAGACAGAAGACATTCCAACCAAGGTACTAGCAGACAATCGGGTTTATCTAGTAACCATGGTAACCAAAGGGCATCTAGTTACCATAGTAACGAAAATGTTTCAGAGCTGAATTCATCACTGGTAAGAGCACAGGAGGTGTTCCTAAATAACAGCGGGATCCAGTTGACGCCCACGCCAGTCAATTTACCAGCACAGCCAGTAATGAGGGTCAAGGTGAAGGTTGAGGAGAAAATGCTGCTGATCCCTGTTACCGAAAGGTACTTTCTCTACATCAGGAAAGAATTGCTCATTTTCCTGGCCCTTTTCTAGTATCTTTCCTATACAAATTACTCAGTACACTTCCATTTTAAGGCCCAAAAGATTATTTATTTTGGCTAGTAAAAATGAAAAAGATTTTCAGAATTTTTGCCTTTGTATCACCGTTTCGTTCATAGGTTTAATTTTGCCAAAAAATTTCTTTGTGTAGCTAAAACAAAATTAAAGCTTGTATCCATATCTATTTTTGAAAATTAATAATCAGTTGATAAAAAAAGATTTTAATCATTAATAAATAGAGAGACAATCCAAGAAAAAAGTGACTAATTTGGAAAATAAATGAACGTCCTCTGTATCAGGGATAGCAGTAAGACTATGAGCTGGTTAGCCAGAGAGGTTTCCCAGCGGTACTACACCCTGTGTGGACTGCGACCCATTGTCCAACTGGGGACCAGCGACGGAGCCCTGTTCTCTCCCGAAGATTCCATCAGCCTGGTGTTGTCCAATGGGGAGATGATCGAAGCTATCAGGGTCACATGGGACATGCCCCCACTCACGGAGAGATACACCCAGGCCTGCCAGGCACTTGGAGCAAGTAAGTGCTGTGTTCAGTTACCCTAAGGTCATTTACCCTAGGTTAGTTAGTGGCAGTAGTAGAAGTAGTCCTTTGGAATTAAGGTAGGCTGTGCCAAAAATAGCTCATTTTCTAGTTGACAGGAATGTGATTTTTTTCCTGAAAATGTGTTTATTTAAATTTCCTTTTTAACTGTTTTTTAACTTTTCTGGGATAAATGCACATCATCGTTCAGGGTTTTACCCCCCACAGATCATGTCCCTAAATTGTGAATGGGATCCTGGGCTCACACCACCATGTTTAGTATTTGCCTACAGAAAAATTAGGATGGGATCTGATTGATCATTTATTTTCAATATATTAATTTGTAGGCAAATAATAATTATTGTTATTATTCATATATTTATTATTTTTATTTTTGAAATAAAAATATTTTATCCCATTATACACTGTGTTCCAGCTCCCTACAGGAACGTGAAGACCATTCTCCAGCAGTGTCAGGACAGCAATATCCTCCAGTTGAAGAACTTGGCACTGAGAGGTGCCCAGCTACACCCTGTGTTCCGGGCTATACAGTGCCACACTGCCCTTAAAGAGCTGCAGTTGGCAGGTAAAGTAATGCATGTGGACTCCAGGGTGCAAAAGATTTCATCCCATGTTTTGCATATGACCTGTACTTCCATTAACTACAAATACACAGTTTGTTGAAATTAAATGAACATGAGTGTGCAACAAATACCACGCAGAGATATAACATAGTATACTGGAAAAAATACACTGGTCTTTGTGATAGTCATTTTTGCTTTATCCGCATCATTAACAATAAGTAGACCAAGATTATTGTAATCAGAGACATTTCGGAGGGTTTACATTATAAGGTTTTAATGTTAGCTACTTCTGTGCTCTTTGTTGCTTTATGAAACCTAGCATCACAGCCTTTAGAATAATGAAATTTTATGTAAAATGTCTGTCTTTTCTGTGCAGGAAACAAACTCAATGACTCCAGTGTTCAGCAGATGATGGAGGTGGCCATTACACTACCCAGCCTCACCTTGCTAGACCTGGCAGCCAATCAGATCACCTCTAATGGGGTCAAGGTCATGGCAGAGACCCTGGAGAGGACAGGAGCAGACAATCAAGACAAGCCCCTTCAGCAGCTGCAGACTTTAAATCTCAGCTACAACTCCCTCACTGACGTCTGCATGCTGTCTTTGTGTGGAATTGTGGGTAATCTACCCCAGTTGATGGTTCTCAGTTTAGCGTCATGTGACCTCACCATGAAGATGTTCCAGCAACACAGGTTGGCTTTTGCTGGAGCTTTGCAAGGTATGCTGATACATAAGCTTGGTTGGGATGGGTTTTTCTTATTGTGAGAAATCGATGCTGTCTTTATATTGAAACTTTTTAAATTTATTAATGATAGGAAAAACTGTAGTTAAAGTGAATTAAGTATATCCACGTTCTTCATCCAACGTCTTTATTGTGGTTGTGCATGTAATATGGATATTTTAGGGATAATTTATCCATGCATTTATTTATTTATTTATTTTCTTAGGAAACCCCATCCTAAATGATAAAAGTTATAAAGAATTATTGTCTGTAAGATATCCAAAACCCAGACAATTCCTGGACCAAAGGATAAATTTAAATATAAAGAAAGTGCAATTAATTTTCATAAATAAATATTCCAATTCTCCGTATTTAACCCTACAGTATACCATTTCAGCCAGCAGTCTCCAGAGGCTGGACATATCCCAGAACCGACTGGAGTCCACTGGCGTGGAACTGCTGCTGATGTGTCTGCCTTGGGAGAAGGTGGTCAGTTTGAGCCTGGACGGCACTGTGCATTCGCATGTAGCTAACCACCTTACCAAACATGTGGAGAAGTACCTGGGGCAGGTTGGTATACACTTGATGATGAATTATAAGTGGGACATATAAAAGATTTATTAATCATCATTTTGGAGGTATTTTCTTATTTGGCCCATGACAATCAGTTATGTGTTATGACAATCAGTTATGTGTAATGTTATTTATTTCTTTATTTGGGTATATCTGCAGGTGCACGTGTGCTCCTAGCTTTTAATATGATTAAGATAGTAATTGGTAGCCAATTTAAGATTATCACTACCATGAAACAATGAACGTTCCAATACTGAATACTAAAGTCAGCAGATAAAAAGATCACTGAAGTAAGATCTGAAATGCAGAGCTGTATTGGGGGGTGGAGGTGTACGGCTATGCTATCCAAATTTCTGCTGGCATTACTTGGCCATTGTTGGCTAAACTAAAACATTGTAGGCTAAACTAAACCATGTTTTTTTGCAGCAGTCATTTACACTTTCCATTAAAACTTACACCCATTGTGAATGTACCTTCAGTGGACTTGTCCCGTATATTTCAGCCCCACTGCGTACTCCAGGAGCTGACACTGAACAACTGTCACATCACTGAGGAGGCTATGGAAGAACTGGACAGGTAGATATCACTTTATTTCATATATATAGGTCAGATGCTATTGAAAAAACTGGACAGGTAAATATCAATTGAATTTGTATAATTATGGGGCAGACACTATTGAAGAACTGGACAGGTAGATATCACTTTATTTCATATGTAGGACATGTCAGATGCTATTGCAGAACTGGGCAGTTAAATATCACTTTATTTCATGTACAGGATGGATACTTTGGAGGAAATGGGTAGGTAAGTATTAATTTATTTTGTATGTGGGACATATACTATTGAAGAACTTGACAGGTAAATATCACTCTATTTCATATATATATATATAGGACGGATACTTTTGAAGAACTTGACAGATAAATATCACTTTATTTCACACATGGGGCAGATATTATTAAAGAACTGGGCAGGTAAATATCTTTTTATCTTGTATACAGGACAGATACTATTGGAGAACTGGACGGGTAAATATCACTTTTTCATAGATAGGACAGTTACTATTGAAGAACTTGACAGGTAGATATAGGACCTATACTATCGAAGAACATGACAGTTAGATGTCACTTTATTTCACATATAGGACAGATATTGTTGAAGCACAGGTAAAGATCCACAGGCCACATAACATAAGATCATGACAGGTAAATACCACTTCATTTGTGGAGGCCTATGTCATCTCATTATCTTTAAGTTATATTTTTTCATCTCAGGGCACTATTACACAGCAGAACCTTGACAACCCTCTCTCTCGATTGCAATCCGCACATCACCAACCAAGACATCACGAGACTCCTGACCTCAGCAGCAAACAACTCTAATGGCTGCCTGCAGAGGCTCTCCGCCTCAGGGTGCGGTGTACACTCCCCGCTGGATGTGGACTTCCTGGACGCCATTAGCGATAAACTAAATCATACCAGTCCCCTGACTGAACTCACGTTTAGCTGTGCTGGTGTGAATAAGGTTGATGTGGAGAGTCTTAGACAGGTGTGGCAGGGGGGCTGGGGAGAGAGAGGGAGGTGTGGGGTACAGGGGGACCTGGTGAAGTTGCACGTAGGGGAGGATCGAATTGTGCTAAATTAGGTCAAGGACACTGGAATATGGTGGATGAGATTTTTCTGACTATTGGCGGAATTTCAACTCTTTTGCTGATGTTGGTGCTTACAACAGTAATTAGATTTTGACCAACTATCAGTGGATTTATGACATTTTGGAACCAAAAGTTCTCCTCCCTGGAATGTTTGCATTCCAAAGTATCATTTTTGTATCAATTTGTATTTCGGTAAATGTTGATTTTTTGTATCACTGGCACTGTGATTTACTTGTTTTGAATATTTTGAATGGCATTCCTGCTTATAGTAATATAATTCATTTTTTGAAGTGGATCCAGTCTTATATAGCCAATTAAAATAACAGATGGTAGTGCCAGAGCATTCCTTGTGTGAGAATGAGTGTGAAATTACTTAACATTTCTCTGATTATAAATCAACATCATTATACCGTCAACATCATTATACCGTTAATTAAGAAGTGTACACAATACTTACTTGTATAGAGGGGGTATTTATTAAATTTAATGTATTGTTTTCACAATTGTGATATGTATGAAAGGGAAGACGTAAATTATGTTACCAAACAGCTTGCTGTAAATATTGTTTCAACAGCTTGGTCTGTTATCAAGAAAAATAAAACATATTTTGATTTCTGAATCATATGTCATGTCGTTATGTCATACCTAAAAAAAATAGTTTGTGGTGGGAGAATCCACTTAAATCATTATTGCAAGCTAAATCATTGTTGATTTAAAATTTTAATTTTTCTTTTATTAAAATGACATAAATCACGAAGTTTCTCATCTATTAATACAGTCCAATAATGTTCCAATTACTTATTTTAAGACGAGGTAATAGAAACCACAAACAAGTCTCAAAACAATTTAATTTGTAATAAAATCTCAATTTATTCATCAAAAGAATTTTGGAGATCAATACAAAATAAAAATAGTTTTATATGCTGTCAGTGATAAAGATTTTTTAAAATCTGCAAAATTCTACTTGAAAGACTAAGATATGAACTGTATTTTCTGGCAACCTTTCGTACAATCATTAATTGTTCAAGAGCAAACAATATATTAAAAAAAGTCTGCTGCAAGACTATGTTTAACAATATTTTGCAAAAATGAAAAAATGTATAACTTTCAAGGAAATACAGTAACCAATATAGTATGAAACAGGTTTAAGTAAACTCAATGATAAACGATACTGCTTACACAATTTCACATTTTCATAAAAAATAATGCTTAACCGACTATATTTTCATAAATTCACAGAAGAAATGCTGAACATTTTTAAAAACTACACAATCCATGGCAATAAAGCTTATAGTAACCATTGCTTGGAATTTGGCAATCTTAATCATGTTGGTCAAGCATATTTGCATGGAAAATGAATTCAGCAACAATAAATTGAAAATTTTGTGGTTGTGGCAATTATAATAACTAGTAAATACAACTCCATTCTTATTTTACTAAGTGGAATTTATGTGCATTTAATGCTACTGTTGAATGAATTCTAAACATTGATTCTTCTGCAGCACATGGAATTGCCAATACCAAATAAAGTAACTACTCATAAATTTCAAACACCTCTTTTTTTTCATTTAAAAATCTATCATTTTAGTAATTTGTCAAAACGCACCTGATGTCATGACCCAACTCGCTCTTTTTTCCGTTTCTTAAAAGACAAAACTTCATTTTAAGAAAAAATTGTAACCTACTTTCAGTTCATAATTCCCTAAACATTTCCATTAATCAGTCTCTTCAATAAAAGTTGTTATTATTCTGCAATATTAATCAATTATGTGTGAAATCAGTGAGTAATAACCTTAAATATAAATCCCTGAGTATCACAGTTTACTCCACTGCCTTTTTCATGACCTCGTAAGGATTGACGTCCAACACACCACAGTCTGCTATGACTACATTCGTTTCTGGTTTGTCTTTGCTGTCAGTTTTCGAGTTCTCAATCTTCCTAACCACGCTCATCCCTTTAGTGACCACTCCAAACACAACATGTTTCCCGTTCAACCAGGGAGTCTTGACTGTGGTGATGAAGAACTGAGAACCATTGGAGTCTTTCCCTGTAGAATTAGAGAAGAAAATAGTTATAATAAGCAGACATGCGCTTTTTTTCTGCAAAAAAAAAAACGGAATTCCCAGTTTTTAAATTCAATTCTGATGGTTCCTGAGATTTGTCAAGGTTAGGTGTTGGGTCCCATGATTTTTTTTTAGCCTAGGCTCAGGTCTGATAAGGGGGCAGTAAAATTCTAGGCAAAATTGGTTTATGTGATGTATGTGAAACTTCACCTATAGAACCATACAATGGGTGTAGTGGGTTAAATGATTGAATAGGTTTTTTCTTTTACTTGCCAAAATTGTATTATGATCTGAAATGCCAATATTTAAAGCAACAGCCCTACATAAAATAATTAACATTCATAAACAATTCAAACAAAATTAATTGATAAAAGTTAGAATGAATGGGCTATAAAATCCAAAATAATTTTATAAAACAAAATCTCAACCCTGCTCCTCTGTTTGTTTAAAGCACTATAACACATTTTAAAAATAATAATTATCAACAACTTTCAGACAGTATCAGGTTGTGGTGTTTTTCTAAGTGTTTAACACAGGGAGAATAAATTTTTCAAATAATTACTCTGCATCTTGTCTGCTGTTATTATTTTTTTCTAGAAAGAAATTGTATAATTTTTTTCTCAATTTGTCATCTTGCTGTGTTTCTCTTTAATTGACAGTCCCCAGTGACATGTTTTTATCTGCTTGACTATTTCATTGATCATTATTGGGGGGGGGGGGGGGGGAAAGAGTGATTTTTAACTCACCTGCATTAGCCATGCTCACCCAGCCTGCCCCATAATGCTCTATATCAAAGTTCTCATCATCGAAATATGTGCCATCATATATACTCTTGATTCCTGTCCCATCTCCCTTATCATAGTCCCCACCTGGAAGACACATTTCTCAAATCAATGATTGGATTTTTGAAATTTCCTCTCCCTATGACCAATCTATAGCAAGATATGAAATAATCGCTCAGTATTAAACATGAGTAAAGCAGTATAAGTAAAGAAATAATTAGATAAATAAATAAAATTTTCTGTTTTTATTCATAAATGATGCAATAGTACTTCTGAGATAAAAAAATATATATATAAGCTCAAATATAATATTTAATACAAAATGGGGACATAGTATAGTAAGAACACAAAAGATTTCTCCAGAATTTTATCATTTTTCAATGATACAAACCCTGCTGACATGGTTAAATGACCCGAAGAAATTTGTTTCCAAACTCCTTTACACACGCTGGTCACTGCATGACTTAACTACTTTCAAAGCAGGTATACTATAAATTTAAAAACACTTGTTATTAATTGTCAAAATAATGAGTCTGCAGATTTTTCTATTTCTATTAAAACATTCATTTTCTTCTGGTCATCTTTACAGTCATTTACTCTTGAAAAGAAAAAAACTGATTTATCTACTGTAATATTGCCACCTTTGTCCTAAAATTTATAAAATCCTTACAGAGTTTGAAACCTGTCTTAAATTATGTAATTTCCACTTCAAACATGTTTCACAACTGCTTCACTGGAGGTGTTAATAAACCAATCTATGCTATATTAGTCACTTTATTTTAAGCGGATGCTATTTTTTTTTTTTTTTTTTTTACTATGTTATACTCACCCTGAATCATGAAATCTTTTATCACTCTGTGAAACTTGCTACCCTTGTATCCATACCCATTCTGGCCAGAAGACAGTTGGGCAAAGTTTTCTACTGTCTTAGGAACAGTGTTTCCAAAAAGGCCAATCTCAATTCTTCCAGCTTTTTCTCCCCCAATTTCAATGTCAAAGTAGGCTGCCTTTGTCACTGTAAGGGTATCTTTAGCCTAAAATATTTCCAGAACAATTTTTCTACCACAAGATGCTTCACAGAGTTTACAATATATCCTGATGGCGTATATACTTTGTATATCATAAAAAATGTGAGTTGATGAATCCAAACACATACATGTGCATTGAATTGACTTAGCTAAACCGGGGATTCAATCTCAGCAGGGAATTATCCCTGTTCTCAGCAACAGCTAGCTTTTCATTTCAACAGCGAATTAATTATCGTAAATAATACTGCAACTCATTCTGCATTCATAATCTTAAATAAACATTATATTATTCCATCATTATTCGACAGAACAATTATTAAAATTCCTTAAAACCAACTAAATACAAACGTAAAAAAACCCTTGCGCCTTGTGTTGACGTGGAAGCTGGTTTTGACGTGTCAAAATTGGGCCTCTCATGCCACGTCTTATATAAATGCGTTGTCTTAATTTTTTTCCATTGCAAGACAGTTTATCTTCCATGCTGTTGTGCAATTAGAAATATTAGGCCCTACCCACCATTAATGCATTGCTTATTTTCCTTTTTCATAAGGCTAAACCGGCTAGAAGGCTTAACACCCGTTTCAGAGATTTGCCACGTGTACACAAATACACCGAACCAAAACCTTCACTAAGTTTTCTCGTTATTCTGAATTTTGAAACAGCTTTAAAATGACATGTTAATCGTTACACGCCTATATGCCCACTGTGCATCATTCACTGGTCATCAGACGGTTGGATTTCAATATTACCTGAGATAAAAGTGGACCCAAGACCGCTACCAGAAAGAAAGCCGCTGCCATGTCTGCAACTTGATGTGGAGTAGCGATCTTAAAGAAACGACCTCGATAACAGCGTTTGTTTATGTACTGATATACTAACGAAAACGAGGCGCCAATGCAGAGAATATTAGACACCGATAATGTTTCTCCTCACGAAATACGCGAACGTTTATCACTGGTTTAGCGTGTAAGCGCTGTAATATAAACTGTATTTATGCTGAACTGAATAGTCTGCATGAATTTTATGAAGTGAACGCGACGTCAAATTACACAGTCTGCAATGATTCTAAACCGTAACTGATATCTAGCACTAAATATAGTCAAAATCAAATAACTCGATCTAAAGATATAAATTAACTGTGCGTGTTTATAGAATTTTAATTCGATTCGGGTTATTTCCTGTATTTCAATCGGTCGGTTACAGTACAGTATATTTAGGTCAGAAAGGAAATGAAACTACGTTTCCCGTGTTTTGTTTGTTTTTACAGCACTGCGGATTCATCCTGTCAGCAAATGGTTGGCAGAACCAGAATATCAATAGGGGGAAGGGGTCCTCAGTGAGAAAAACTGTTCCATTGGCGTCGTTTTGTATTGCAATTAATGAACGTTCATTTAAGCGGTTATATAAAAGGCAGTGGCGAATTGGGGGGGAGGGGGGGCAGCTTTCATGCCACTGCACATTACACCTTTCTCAGAAAACAGCTACACAACAACAAACAAAGAGCCAACAGATTTATATGGAAAGGACTCGGTGAATGAAAGACAGGTCGATCTGCAACAGCCTATTAGTCTGTATTAAAATAAAAATTATATCGTAATATATAATTTTGCGTATTTCTTTATTCCCTAGACAAGTTAAAGTTGGTAATGATTATTAGCTTCGGTATGACTGGTATATATGTTTAAGAAACCGTAGAAAGTTTTGTTAGTTGAGATTGAGCTTTCTTTAAAATTTAAAATTTAAAATTATGAAAATCTTTCCTCGATTATGAGAGAATAATCATTATAGATGTTAATTAAGTACGTGTGTAGACTGTTTTATTTAAGCTTAGTCTGCAACTAAATCTACATATTTCATGTCATTATCCCACAATGGACTGTCCGGTGAAGCAATCTTTGGTAGGGTCACTTTCCTTGACCAGCAGATAAGAACAGTTGGGTCCCTTTATCTGCTTGCAACCCTGCACAGAAATTACTCCCGCGCTGGAGCCGTACCTGAAAATAATTAATTGAGAAATCAAAGAATGATCACGAGTTCTTCTTGTTGGTGCCTTCTGGATGTGTTGAGAAGTATATCTAAAAAGACAATCTATATATCTTAAGTCTGTGTCAATTAGTTTGAATGGAGTAAATTAATCTTGCATAAGATATTGAAGTATCAGTTTTATAGGAATATGTTAACAATTGTCCAAACCTGTACACCTATACTGGCATGGTATATAAAAATATAATATCTGGGTGAATTTAATTAGATTGGGAATCAGTTACTTTAATTGGCTAAAATTTATAACAGACTAATAGAAAAAAAAACAGAAGATATAAGACAAAAATAGAACTTTTAAATATTGAAATGTTGGTGACGTCATAAATGGCGCCGCAAGTGACGTCACTCACCCACAACAGCTGAGTCCCCAGTCTTCACAGGTGCAGCTGATGCACTCATCCGGGAACCTAGCAGTGTCTCCGGGAAACAGAATCTTCGCCTTGTATTCGCAATAGTTGGTAACCTTCACGGAACCGTCTGGTTCGACTGAAATTCAGCTGGAAACTTAATTTTACTGCCTTATCATCTACAGTAACTCAATAAGACAATGTGTAANGGTCAGCTTTCATGCCCCTGCACATTACACCTTTCTCAGAATACAGCTACACAACAACAAACAAAGAGCCAACAGATCTATATGGAAAGGACTCGGTAAATGAAAGACAGGTCGATCTGCAACAGCCTATTAGTCTGTATTAAAATAAAAATTATATCGTAATATATAATTTTGCGTATTTCTTTATTCCCTTGACAAGTTAAAGTTGGTAATGATTATTAGCTTCGGTATGACTGGTATATAGGCCTATGTTTAAGAAACCGTAGAAAGTTTTGTTAGTTGAGATTGAGCTTTCTTTAAAATTTCTTTTAAAATTATGAAAATCTTTCCTCGATTATGAGAGAATAATCATTTTAGATGTTAAGTACGTGTGTAGACTGTTTTATTTAAGCTTAATCTGCAACTAAATCTACATATTTCATGTCGTTATCCCACAATGGACTGTCCGGTGAAGCAATCTTTGGTAGGGTCACTTTCCTTGACCAGCAAATAAGAACAGTTGGGTCCCTTTATCTGCTTGCAACCCTGCACAGAAATTACTCCCGCGCTGGAGCCGTACCTGAAAATAACAATTAATTGAGAAATCAAAGAATGATCACGAGTTCTTCTTGTTGGTGCCTTCTGGATGTGTTGAGAAGTATTTTTAAAAAGACAATCTATATATCTTAAGTCTGTGTCAATTAGTTTGAATGGAGTAAATTAATCTTGCATAAGATATTGAAGTATCAGTTTTATAGGAATATGTTACAATTGTCCAAACCTGCGAGCCACATGTACACCTATACTGGCATGGTATATAAAAATATAATATCTGGGTGAATTTAATTAGATTGGGAATCAGTTATACTTAAATTGACTAAAATTTAGAACAGACTAACAGAAAAAAACAGAAGATATTAGACAAAGATAGAACTTTTAAATATTGAAATGTTGGTAACGTCATAAGGGGCGCCGCAAGTGACGTCACTCACCCACAGCAGCTGAGTCCCCAGTCTTCACAGGTGCAGCTGATGCACTCATCCGGGAACCTAGCAGTGTCTCCAGGAAACAGAATCTTCGCCTTGTATTCGCAATAGTTGGTAACCTTCACGGAACCGTCTGGTTCGACTGAAATTCAGGTGGAAACTTAATTTTACTGCCTTATCATCTACCAGTAACTCAATAAGACAATGTGTAAGTTTGGGTTAAAGTGTAAATCTAAGTAACGTTTTTTTTTTTTTTTTTTTTTTTTTTTTTTGACTAAGCAGGACCCCATCATTTAATTCAAGGACCTAATAATCTGTCTAAGACTGACATTTTGACAGACGTAGATAGAGGAGGTGACATAACATCGCACTGTTTATAACTACTTTTTCAGGATTCAAAACAATATAAAGCGCGTTAACAGCAAGTTTACGGGGTTTTGTCGACCCAGCGCGCCACAGACCCATCCCAGGCAGAAAATGTAACCCCCTGCGTTCTCACACCGAGTTCAAGGAACAAGCCAACAGACAAGTTGCGAGTACAGTCTATATGCCGGATTTAGTTTGATAAACATGTATAACTGTCCAAAGAAATTGGTCGCACCGTGGAAATTTGACTGCACTGGCCTGTAAACCAGCAGTTTCAAAGAGGAGGTTCTACTTCTCAAATGGTTTGACCCCCTTCCCCGCTTGCAGACCTGCTTTATAAACGCCTTATTTAACTTACCAAAAGCATTTTCTCTGTGTGTCTCAGACTTCGCAAAACAATAACCGCTAATTCCACGTGCTACGAGCAGGACAGCAACAAGCTGGAAGAGAAGACCCATTTTGACAGAGTGCCACGTAACACTACGTACTGAGTATTAACAATTTAACACTAGCAGATCTGACACAGACCAGGAAAGATAAATGCATCTCAGTCACTGTGCTTAATCATGAGAACGTTGCTGGAATTGTTTACTTAGAAGATTTAAGGTTAATATTATGTGAAGTGGGTTTTGTGCACGTGTTTCAGTATGATCTCTTCCTTATCTGCTCCTCACGACACGGATTAACACCGTGCAAAATGATCATGTTTGTGTGATGCGGTTAGGGAAGATGTAGACAGTAAACATAGACCCCATTTCCAGAGGTTAGATCGATCCAACTAGATCGACCTAACTCCCTGGGGGTTCACGCTAAATAGCTGTCAGCCGAGCGGGCTCGAAAGTTGATTACCCCCTTACAGCTTGTAGTAGGCGGGACGGACATTTAAGCCGGATTATCTGACAGTAATCTAGTGAGACTCCCCACGGGGATAGATCGATCTTAAGTCTATGTGAATGCACCCATACTGGTATTGTCATTCCACAATCAGTCCTAAGCACAACATTACGCAAATGTGAATTTGCCACTATTTAGACCTTAAAATAATAGGTTATTTGAGTGACATGTACAGCTCTTGATGTCGAGATGGCGACTACCGTTTAAAATTCAGAAACTGATTTTAAACTACTTCTGAATGTGTATGCTTAATAGGGAAAAGATTATTGTATTGATTTATATACAGGCAAGTAACCAGCAGATTAAAAAAATCTAAGAAAATTCTTATAGTAGACCAAACTTAGGAATTGCATAGAACCTAGATAAAGATTTGTTACAGTGATGACAGCTTCGTTGATCTTCTGACCCAAGTAGGCATCTGCTGTCTCTTTCATCTTAGTGAGAACCATAGAGTGAATTTTATAAAGTAAATTACACTATGATGTTTAACTGTAACGAGTCGTGAAAGTTATACGGTGGGGAGTGGAGGGGGGGGGGTATTTCATTAGTCTCCAATTAACCGCACGTATACATGGTTAAAATATTTAATGCGATTTAATGTTTATTTCCCGTGTTTCAATAGGTTGGTTACAGCATTTAGGTCAGAAAGGAAATGAAGTTTTTATAAGCTGCATTACCCGTGCTTTATTTTTACAGCACTACGGATTCATCCTGTCAGCAAATGGTTGGCAAAACCGGAATATCAATAAGGGGGAGGGGTCCTAAATGAGAAAAAAAATGTTCCATTGGCGTCATTTTGTATTGAAATTAATGAACGTATTTTTTTTAAATGGTTTTTTAAAGGGGCTAGAAACCCGAGAAATACAACGTACTTGGATTTGTTATTGGGGTCGGTGTGATGGGGTGTCAGTATTCGTACTGCTGAGACGACAGCTTGGCCAGTGCACATCACTAGTACATCATTCTTGGAAAATAGACAACAATAAACAAATAAATATATAAGCTGACAGAATTATATGGAAATGAACTCGAAGAATGAGAGACAGATCGACCTACAATAGCATTTTAGTATTTATTAGTATAAAATCAGGTCGTTATATGATTTTGCGAATATCGTTAATTATTTCCTTAACAGATTTAATTTGGCAAAAACGACAATTATAATTCGCTCCGGTATGTTGGAGAAACGAAAAGAAAGTTTTCCAAGTTGAAACAAAGCTGTCTTTGAAATGGTGATTAAAGACACCATGTCTGCGATAAAAGAAGAAAAACCATTAAAGATGTTGATAATGTATCAGTATAATCCGCAACTATATTTAGTATATCATTATCCTTCAATGGACTGTCCGGTGAAGCAATCTTTGGTAGGGTCACTTTCCTTGACCAACAGAGAAGAACAGTTCGGTCCATTTATCAGCTTGCAGCCCTGCACAGAAATTACTCCGGATCCCGCTCTGGTGCCGTACCTGGAAATACCGATTAATTGAGAAATCGGAGAATGATCACGAGTCCTTCTTGTTGCTTTTTGGCTGTGTTAAGAAGTGTATTTTAAATAGATGAACTATTTTAAACGTCTGTGTCAATTATTGTGGATGGAGAAAATTACCCCTGCATGAGACATAATGAATTAAGTGTCATTTTTATAGGATATTGTTACAATTCCAAACCTGCGAACCACAAGTACACCTACTAGTCCATATAGGTATATAATTAGACACGATAAAATATTTGAGTGAATTTAATAAAACTAAGAATCAGTTACTAAGTTGGCTTAATATTATAACAGACCAATCGGAGAAACCAGGGGATATAAGACAAAAAAAAACTAATTTTACGTGTTGAAATGATGGTGACGTCATAAGTGGCGCCGCAAATCAAAGTGACGTCACTCACACACAGCAGCTGAGTCCCATGTCATGACAAGTGCACCTGATGCACTCATCCGGGAACTTTGTAGTGTTTCCGAGGGATAGAATCACCCCCCTGTACTCGCAATAGTTGGTAACTTTCACAGAACCGTCTGGTTCGACTGAAATTACAGACGAAAACTTTTTACTGCGTCATCATCTACCAGTAACTCAATAAGACTACGTGTTAGTTTGAGTTAAAGTGTAAATCTAAGTAACAATTAACGTAAGGAAAGTTAGTGACGTCACTTTTGACCAAGCAGGACCCCAGCATTTAATAAAATTATTCAAGGACCTAATAATCTGTCTAAGACTTATATATTATATTTTGACAGACGTAGATAGAGGGGTGACATAACATGATTATAAAATACTGAACATGTATGTATAATAATGGTACACTTCTAGATACATAATTTTGGCGCTATTCATCTATTTATTTTATTATGATTATCGTTACTTTTGTTACAATTCTTTATTAATTTTCTGTACATTTTCACCAGCTCAGTCTGGTATAGAAAGTATGAATAAGGCATATATAATACATAACATTGCACTGTTTACTTTTACAGGATTCAAAATACAATAACGCGTTAACAGTAATGAGTTTTTGGGGTTTTATCGACTGGGCTCAGCACGACCTGTCCCAGGCAGAAAATGTAACCCCCTGCGTCTTGAACACACCGAGTTCGCGGAACAAGTCAACAGACAAATTGGGAGTACAGTCAATACTGGGTTTAGTTTTGATGTGTAACTGTCCGCAGAGTTTGTGGACTATTGGTAGCACCGAGGGAATTTGACTGCACTGGCCTGTAAGTCAGCAATTTCAAAGAGAGGTTCTACTTCTGAGATACTGCGACCCCCTCCCCCCCCCCCTTGCAGACCTGCTTTATACACGCCTTAACTTACCAGAAACATTTTCCCTGTGTGCCCCAGGCTTCGGCAAACAATAACCGTTAATCCCACGCGCTACGAGAAAGACAGCAACAAGCTGAGAGAGAAGACCCATTTTGAGAGTGCCACGTAACACCACGTAATGAGAATTAATTTTTTAGCACTGGCAGATCTGACACAGACGTAGAAAGATTAATACATCTCAGTGACTGTGCTAAATCACCGGTATGAGAGTGTTGATGGAAATGTTTATTTAGAAGATTAAGGGTTAAATACTATGAAAAGTGTGGGGGGGGGGGGTTGCACGTGTTTTAGTGTGATCTCGTGATCTCCTCCCTTTCTGCTCCTCTCGACACGAATTAACACCGTCCAAATTGATCATTGATTGTGTGATTCGGTTAGGGAAGATGTACACCGTAAAGATACTGGTAGACCCACTTTCATTCCACAATCAGTCCTAAGCACAACATTACGCAAATGTGAATTTTGCCACTATTTAGACCTTAAAATAATAGGTTATTTGAGTGACAGCTCTTGATGTCGAGATGGCGTCCACTGTTCAAAATTTAGAAACTGATTAAAAACTACTTCTGAATGCGTATGCTTAAAAGGAAAAAGATTATTGTATTGATTAATATACAGCCCAGTGACCAGCAGATTAAAAAATCGAAGAAAATTCTTATAGTCGACCTAGATAAATTTTTAATTCAGAGCGGTTCTCTACTAGATTCCACACTACGGGCCTGGTTTTATTTGAATTCCCACATGAGGGATTGGAAGCGTGGGCAAGTGCCCTTTCGTGAGCTTCTAACGTCACCCCCCCCCCCCTCAAAAAAAAATTGTAATACCAAAATAATAAGTCATAATAAAAGCTGACTTAATATATCCTCAGTTTGCGAAATGTAACAAGATGAAGAGGATTAAATTATTTTCTATACATTTATTTAGCTGTCCTCATTTTATTTTTATTTTGCTGGGAGAACACCCTCCACCCACCCTCCGAACAAAACTCCGAATTGGCCAATGATCACATATTCTTCTGTTAAATGAGTAATCAGTTACATCAAACATCCTTGAGGCAGTAAAAGCAAACATCTTTCAATGCAGATTATTTTATTCATCCTTATTATTCAAGAATATATTCAAATAAAAAACAAGGCAGCAAAGCTGTCAAATGTACAGACAAAAACCAGAAAATAAAAACGCAGGAAANTGCTGCATATCTGCTGAAAAAAGTGAAAAAACAGCATAAATTCTCTATAAGTGACCCGATCATGCTGATTTTCGAACTTGACCTGCGTATTATGAATATTCATCAGTTCTGTAAGTTTCAAGCCAAAAGAAAAAATAGTTTTCCACTTATCGTGTTATCGGTAAAAGTGCACGGCGACGGCGACGACGGCGACGGCGACGGCGACGACAGACGCAGATGATGGCTATATGTACAGACACATCTGTGTTTGTACATAAAAACGTTTTTCTTCAGTTTTGAATATTTTATTCAAATTTATAGACAAATACATTGCACATTCTTTTCTAAAAATTTGCTGATCATGATTCTTTATAAAACAAATGAGATATAATAACATGAAGTATTTACAAATGAACTTTTTACAATTTAGTTACATCTGTCTTTAATGTCTTAAATTGAACAGTCTTTAATGCATGAATCATTGGAGCATAAAATAAATACAACTTCCAAATTAATTTTTGGTGCTTGATAAATTTCTTTAAGACAACAACTTGTTCAAAATTCTACTTCATTTCTACTTTCTTCAACAAACAAAATAAAGTGCATTTGTCAAAAATGGTCAAGATTTCACAGTTCTAGTATGTTGACCTTTTTTATACTTCAATAATTAATAGAATAACCGTCTTTTAATTTTACACATTAAATCAATTCTTTTATCAGTTTTACTTTCTTTTTTTTTCAGTTACTTTAAGTTGCATTTTACATTGTATAGTCTACTGAACACAAACTTATATTGAGCATTATTTTCAGTTTTTTCTCCTCAGATTAGTCCACCTCCTCTACAGTAGGGCCTCCCTGCGGACCTCCCATAGGCGTCTCCCTCGCTCCTTTCTGTCCTGCGCCATGGATCTTCGCCATGATGGGCGAACACACTTTCTCCAGTTCTTTCAACTGGTACTCAAATTCATCCTTCTCGGCCAGCGAGTTCTCGTCCAGCCACTTCATGGTATCATTACACTTGTTCATCACGGCATCTTTATCCTCGGAGGAAATCTTGCTGGCTCCATCTTCCGCAGCCTGCCTGTAGCTGAAAATCATAGATTCCAACTTGTTTCTGGCTGCTATCTTTTCACGCTGCATTTCGTCTTCTTTGCTGTATTTCTCAGCCTCGGAGACCATGCGATCAATGTCCTCCTTGGACAGTCTGCCTTTGTCATTTGTAATGGTGATGTTGTTGGACTTGCCTGTGCTCTTGTCTTGTGCTGTCACATGCAGGATGCTGTTGGCATCTATGTCAAATGTCACCTCAATCTGAGGGACACCACGGGGGGCAGGAGGGATGCCACTCAGCTCAAATGTGCCCAGTTTGTGATTGTCTTTGGTCATTGCCCTCTCACCTTCAAACACCTGGATGCTGACCCCTGGTTGATTGTCGGCATACGTGGTGAAAATCTGCGATGTCTTGGTGGGGATACGTGTGTTGCGGGTGACCAAGTTTGTCATGACACCACCAGCTGTTTCGATACCCAGTGACAGAGGTACAACGTCAATGAGCAACACATCTTTTACAGTGTCATCCTGGACTCCGGTCAATATGGCTGCCTGGACTGCCGCGCCATAAGCGACGGCCTCATCTGGATTAATGGACTGGTTCAGTTCTTTGCCATTCATGAAATCTTTCAGCATTTTCTGGATCTTAGGTATACGTGTAGACCCGCCCACCAGGACAATTTCTGCAATTTGTGACTTGTCTAGTTTAGCGTCCAAGAGAGCCTTTTCAACTGGTACAAGAGTAGCGCGGAAAAGGTCGGCACACAGTTCTTCGAATCTGGCCCTGCTGATGCTGGAGTAAAAGTCGACACCTTCATACAGGGAATCGATTTCTATGTTGGCCTGGGAACTGCTGGACAGGGTTCTCTTTGCTCTCTCACATGCTGTTCTGAGACGCCGCATTGCTCTGTTGTTACCACTGATGTCTTTTTTGTACTTGCGCTTGAATTCCTGTACGAAGTGATTGACCATTCTGTTGTCAAAGTCTTCACCACCAAGATGTGTGTCACCAGCTGTAGAACGCACCTCAAACAAGGATCCATCAGCAATGGACAGGATTGAAACATCAAAAGTGCCACCACCCAGGTCAAAAATTAGGACATTTTTCTCACCCTGTAGCTTTTTGTCTAGTCCATAAGCAAGGGCAGCAGCTGTTGGCTCGTTGATAATACGAAGTACCTTCAGTCCTGCTATGGCACCAGCATCTTTAGTGGCCTGTCTTTGTGAGTCATTAAAGTAGGCTGGCACAGTGATGACAGCTTCGTTGACCTTCTGACCCAAGTAGGCTTCTGCCGTCTCCTTCATCTTAGTGAGAACCATAGAGCTTATTTCTTCAGGAGTGCATTTCTTGGTCTCACCTTTGTATTCAACTTGCACCTTGGGTTTACCACCTTCATTGACAACCTTGAAAGGCCAGTGTTTGCTGTCTGCCTGCACCGCTGGATCATCAAATTTACGACCAATCAGTCTCTTTGCGTCGAACACTGTATTCTGTGGGTTGAGGGCAACTTGATTTTTAGCCGCATCGCCGATCAGTCTCTCGCTGTCTGTGAAGGCAACGTAGCTCGGTGTTGTTCGGTTGCCCTGGTCGTTGGCGATGATCTCAACCTTTCCATGCTGGTATACACCAACACAGGAGAAGGTTGTCCCCAAGTCAATGCCGATTGCTGGAGCTTTTCCTGGCATGTTGTCGCTGTATCTCTATTAAATATTGAGTTAATGAAAATGTAAAGTCGATTGGTTTCTTAACCAATACCGTCTTTTCTCCGCTTACTTCTTTGCTTGGATTTATAACTGACTTCTTCATAGCAAGTCGGCCGTTTATATATCCTACGCATGTCTATTTTTGCACTGCCTAGAGCCTTCGAAAACTAGAAACTGCAAGAACGTACTCGAACCTTCTCAACCGACAAGCTTCTGTTTACGGAAGTTTCCAGAATCGTGACGTCATCAGCGCAGTAGGATGCGCAGTAAAAGGGTCTGTGCATTTGTGGAGTGCTTTTAGGATTTCACATTACTCTTCCATAAAAATTACCAATTCAAAATGTTTTTATCGTCAAAGAATTACTAAAAATTGTAATAATTAGACGGTAAACTTATATGTATAAAAATTAAGTTGGAACGTCGTGAAGCATGTTAAGCTCTTTTCTAATGAAGGAAGGAAATACGCCAACCTTGTGGTTACCCGACTTCTCCCAGATTTGACTTTATTGTTGTTATTTGCTTGCAGAAGGAATTTTTCCTGTCTTTGTCTTCAGTTTTATTTTTGACAATGTAGCTATCACAAAAAGAAGGTAGTGTTTAATGCATGGATTACAGGAGCAAGGACAGATGTCAACATCAGACGATAACCCCTTGTTTCAAGCTGTCACAGAAGTAAGCAAATCTGGGCACCTTCGTAGCACTTTCGTAGTATCCCCCCATATAACTAACTAACTCTGTGATATTCAATAGCTTTTATAAATTAATTTGTGTGGTGACTTTGATCAATGTCTCGGTCACTCAAGTAAATTAGTATGGCAATTTGTTTACTAATTTCAACAATTTTTACGTGGAACTTATTAATGCCCTCCAAATATTATGGGAGCTCAGTTATTCAATGGGGAGAAAATTTCCATTTCGTCAGAAAATGGTAAAAAAGGCCCTTTTTCCTTTTCACCTGACAGATGGTCAAAATAAAACGAGAAAAATTAACTGTGATTTCCTTTTTCCTTTTAAAAACAAAATTGGAAAAAAACGAGGTACTTAGTTATTCTTCTATTTTCTATTTTAACAGCAAAGAGCAAAAACAATATTTCCAGATGTGATTAAAAATAGAAATATTCACCGTTTTCCAATTTCAGGAGGGAAAAATATATTAGAATATAGGGCATTATCCCTTCTGTGAGGGAGTGAGACAATGGGAAAATGTGTATACTTTTTCCATTTTGGTTTCAATGGAAAATGGAAGTCAGCTCCTTTTTCTGATTTTATTTTTAGATATCTATCTTGTGTTCATTCCTTTTTCTCATTAAACAGCAAATAAGGAGAAAGATTGATACATTGTATTTACTGATGGAATACATTAATGTTTGTATTAAAATTTTTTAAAAGGTGTGAAAATTTTAATATACAGTATTACTAAGTTCCTTTTATCTCTCATTCCAGGGGGACATAACAACTTGTAGACAGCTAATACAACAAGGATGTGATCTTGACAAGCCAGGATTGATTAGAGGCTACAACCTGAAAATGTCCCCATTGTCCCAGGCCATACGAACTGAAAATATAGAAATTGTGAAGTTGTTGGTGTGGGCTGGGTGTGATATGGAAGCAGTGGACAGTTTAGGGTTGGTGTTAAATACTAGATTATATTTTTGGTCAGGTAAAATACCATTTGATATATTCAATTCAATTCAATTTATTTCTGTACTGGTACATAGATTGTCATGACCTTGTACAATATGATATACTAATGACGATACAATACAATTAGTGCATTACCATTTCTCTTGTTGGTATTATGTTGCCTAGCCATTTGTGAATGAAAAAATAATCTTTATATAATGAACATACGTACTAGTAAAATTACTCATAAAATATTCTATCTAAGCAATGAGATAAACCTTGGTGTGATTATAAATTTACCATAAACATACTATAAACATGTTACATGAAAGGATATGTTTAAACTTAAAACCACAGTTACATAGCTGTTTACATGGCTGTTTAAAGCCAGTTTGATGACATAGATAATTAGGATTAATGACAATTACATAAGACTGATAAGTAGATAAGTTACACAGATATAAATATTGTGCCATGTATATAGTGGGTAAATTAAGCCCAAGAACAAATTTTGATAAACTATAGTGAAAATTATATGGCATGTCACAAGTTTCACTAAGAGCTAAATTTAGGTTGAATCTATCAGTTTTAACGGCAGCAAAAAATGTGAAAGGTTTGAGTCCTTCTGAAGAAACTATATGCTCTTCAGTGAATAAACATAGTGAGTGCAATTGAATTATCTACTTCGTGAGCTGTTCGCATAAAGTTATTTTAGTTCAAAGGATGCTGAAAGCAGCAACAGATTAATTTTCATTCTAATGGGTTCCAAGGAACCATTATTAAGTGGAGATTATGATATCACTGTCCTGTGCTAAACTTACATTCAAAGTAAAATTAATACCTATTGTATAGTAACCACCTTCACCTTTCCAAAATTAACAATTACATTTGAAACTTGTAGAAAATCTATGAACTAAAAATTGTCAGCTGTAAAAGGTTGCATCCTCTTTACTCATTGTTATTATACTATTCAGTAGATACCATTTACTTCCCTAGGTCTAGCTCCCTGCAGCTAGCAATTAACCATGGCTCTGCTGAGATAGTGAGGGCTTTAATACAGGGAGGGTGCAACGTGAACCGTGGCTTGAATGATATCAACTTCACACCTTTGCATGCAGCATGTGCTGGCAGCAATAAGGATGTCATACAGGTGAGAAAAAGTTAATTTTGAAAAAAAAGCAAGGTTGATTTGAGATTATTACAGAACCCAATTGTCAGTGGAAAGGAAGTAGTAATATTGAAATTTGAATTCCAAAATCACAAGCAGAACAGAGCACATTGGAGTGGCCAGTACTGAGGTAGAAGTCGGTTATAATGTTTAAGATTTTTGCTTAAAGCAATAATAACTCTTCCTTTGAGATTCAAAATTCTGCAAGATTTACATTGTAAACAATGCATGAAAATATATTCTATTGCATTTTACCATTAAAACAGCTGTTATTGTAGTAAAACTAAAATCCGTGCTTGTCAATAGGGCTTTCGATGCCTTTCTTCCGGGTCGTCAAGGCATCCGTTCCCAATGACTTTGGGGTGTCTTGCGGATTCTCGCGTTCATTCAAGACCAAAATAATATGGCGCCAAACGCATGATGCAATCTCCAGACGTTGCACACATTGTAGATATAAATGCATTTTGAGCAATAAGACAAATATATCTTATGAATCGTACATTATTGTTACAGTGTTGTTGTTGTCTGCTTTTCCCGCGGTTTTAAGTAGGTCACCAGAAAATATCGCTCGATATCGCGTGACTATGCAATGTCAGAGAGGGCTCCGTCAGTTAAAATCTCTTAAGAGATTTTAACAAAAAAACCAAACGTTTAGGAAAAAAACTCTGAATGCAGGAATGGGGTCGTTGACGTTTGGTAAGTATGGGAAAATTGCCATTTACTCCAGGAAAATCCATTTTTTGGCAAAAACGAAGAGTTATTATGACTTCAACTTTACCTCTGTCAACAAATGAGATTGTGCTTTCATCAATGTTGCTGTGTCTGTTTGACTGTTTGTTAGAGGACAGGATATCTAAAAAGCTCCTCACAAATGTTGATTAAAATTTCACAATGGGCAGATACAGATGAAAGAATAGATTACAATTTCAACCAAATCATGGTCTCCTAAGCCATGTTAGCTCTTTCAGTGATTGCTTTTTTTTTTTCCTTGGCGGAGGTTTTTCCTCTTGGGATGCTTTCTAATTGTACATATTATTATTATTATTTTCAGGCATTGCTGGAAGCAGGAGCTAACCCTAATGAGATTGAACTCGACTACAGACTCACGCCAGCCTTCTACACATCTTCTCTGGACATCTTCAAGCTCCTGGTCCAGTATGGCCTGGACATCAACTCTCGCAGTCGTTCCGGTGAAAGCACCCTCCACCACGCCATACTCTCAGGCAACCCACAGCTGGTTGAGTTCGTGATCGGTTGTGGCGTGGAGCTCAACCACAACCAAGTCCAGTACAAGTTCTCTGCCACCAACTACTTACAGCTGTGCACCACTCGGTCACCGTTCTATCTAGCCCTGGAGGAGCAGAGGTACTCATTTTGCCAGCTGCTGTTACAGCATGGGTGCGATACAGGGTTCGTGATGGAAAAAGGAGACGCCTTGCTGAGGATATTAAATAGCGGGCAGCTTGACCTGGTCATGGTGTTGGTCGAGGCTGCGGGCAACTATGACTGGACAAAGCTGGTGGACGTCGGGATGATTTCCTATATTGTTGGAAGAGAGATTATTGACCAGATCCTGGAATATTTAACAGCTGTTTCCAGGAATCCTTTCTCTCTGAAATCTCTGGCAAGATTGACTTGTAGAAGACACATTCAGAGTCTGTCGAAGAACAAAAGCATATGGCCATGTATACAGCTTCTTCCTGTGCCAAATATACTCAAACGTTACCTTTGCTTAAAAATAATTTAATCTGACCGCAACAAATTAATTGTGAACTTTTTGAAATATGTCTTGTCTGGATATTTTTAAAAAGGAAAAAGTAAAGAAAACGTATTGGAATAAACATTTCAGCGCCAGTATTTCTAACCTCATGCTTATTGCTCATCAGCAGGTGCTCCAACTAGTGGGAGATGTTGGTTTTTGGAGCCTCAGGGTATTATTTTGTATTAAAGGACCTGTGAGTGATATACAAACTTTGATCTATGAGAGATAGTATCAAATAGTGGCATTGAACGACATTTTGTTGAGTAATTATTATACCTTATTATACCCTATTATGTTCAGACACAGATGTTCATTTTCTAATACTCCATGTCTAAAAATAAAATTTCCATTGATTCATCCATTGAGTCGGTATTTGAAAAAGTCACCAAAATTATTTTTTGGTTGTGAAATCAACCAAATGAACCAGAACCTCATAGAACTTGGATATTTCCACTCTCGCCTACTATAAAAACTATTTTCGCACCAGTTGGTTCTTAAGAAAATTATTCTTTTATTCAGTTGTATTTACTATATAAATTTGCGCTTAATGAAATTTTAATCTCTTCATTCTACAACACTGTCAACAAAATTAGGTTGAATAGCTCAAGGAATACATTCTAGTAGGTCTTTACCGTTAGCATGACGTTGATGACCTGCTGTGAAAACACAGACAGCCGTTAAAAAATTGCGGTGAATATTGGGGCGCCGCAGCATCGTTTATGCGGGGACATTTGCAATAAACATCCTTGAGGTGAATTCTACAGGTGAATAAAAAATGCTCTCTTGTTCTCACGACCACAAACAAAAGAGACAACCAATATTGAAATGCACATTTAGATACGGTTTAGTTTACCTTTTTGTTTTATACTTAAACTTTAAACTCGATGCAATATATCGCCAGGAGATGTAGGCTAGGCCTCTATATACTATAGCTTAGTTTTGAGACATAAGCACGCGTAATACAACGGTAAGTGGGGATAGTAGACAGCAGTGATGATAACCTGTTTGTTTAATATGTATGAATTATATTAAGCCCATAGAATTATTCTGTGTGAGAAGATATAATAAAGCCCAAAGGGGTTGGGTAACTTGAATGTATGAATACTATGATTATACAGGAGTAGGTTAGGTTAGGTAAAAAATATGTGTTTCGGATTTACAGGTTGTGATGATTATTTTTGGTATTATGTTTGAGGTTTTTGACACTTCTAGCAAGGGAAATGGCTCAGTTTAATTCGTTATCCTATCAAATGGCTCAGTTTGATTCGTTATCCTATCAAATGACTCTGTTGAATTCGTTATCCTATCTGTAATCAAATGACTCAGTTGAATTCGTTATCCTATCAAAAGACGCGCCAAGTTCGAATAGTTGTTAATGCATGATTTCTACCTCCGGAAATAGTTGGTCAGCGCACTGGCCTGGGGCTAGCTGGATTGACTGAGGACACTTTAATCAAATGTATACATATACAAAGTTACTAAAGTTCCACTACTGGTACACTCACAACATTGGGAACATATTAATTTATCACGTGCTAGCCACGAGCGCGTCAGTACTGTGTTTACATATTCCATGTAGGCTAAACTTCATTTCTGCTATCTATAGATACTCCAGCACATCGCCAAATCTGTCCTTTTGACAATCGACCCCTATGAGAATATAGCCTATAATCGAACATAACAATTTCACCCCTCTCTCCCCCCCCCCCCAAAAAAAAACGCTGATATGACGTCACCAACAGAATGTCCATACATTTTCTGAAGACTATGTAATAATATCCATGGCCATTACATGGTAGCATCATAGCAGCCAGTATTTTTATATGAAGTTGTTTGTTAGCCTGGTTTTGGCCAACACGTCAGAGTAGGCCTATGTAATGAGTGCTTTTATACCGCACAAAACACAATCCGAAATTCCATGGTTCGCGTCAGATTTACGTAAAATCGCTCAAAGAACACCCAAGGACACCTTATGGCCAGTTTAACGGTTTATTTGTTGACGCTCGCTAACTAAATGATTTACCCGAAGTCTACAATTTCTTATCTTCAGTGCTGCACTTGAACGCGGTGCATACATTTTTTTTAAAGATTGAAATAACTGAAATTGCACACTTTAGATAATTGCATGTAAGGCCATAAAACCAGTTGAGTGCACAAGAAAGTGAATCCATTCAAATTTATTTGCAAGTCTGGGGGTTATTTTTGTGGGACAAAAATGCGTATACGTGCTTCAAGATATAAAATTTGCATCACTGAAAGAACTTTTCAAAAAGTTGGACGCAGTCGGACGTAAATCGCAACTTTAAGTGACCCAGCCTCGTTAATTCAAAAGCCTGAAGTGCGCAGAGGTCGTTGTTCGAAGAAGAGACATCCTGTCTCATCACAGTCGGCAACTAGATACTCTGAGTCGTAAACATTACCGTTATCAGCAAGTTATAACGACGAAACTCTTCGCTGAAGACTGTTACAGAATGGAAATTAATGTGTGGGGACTGGTTGCCATAGTGATTCTCTATGTCGTCATATTCATCATTGGGATTATCGCCGGTCGTAAGGCAAAAAGGAAAGGCAAGCAGTTGGATAGTGAGGAGCTGATCCTAGCTAATCGGAACATCGGACCCTTTGTTGGGATTTTCACCATGACAGGTATGGCACTAAATATCTCGAGAAAGTATGGTTGTTTTACTTGTCAATTTCACATTGGACTGATAAAAGAACACAATTTATAAAATTAAATTGAGAAAAATTTTCTCATAATTTTATACCAATACCGTGGCTGCAATAGATGAATTAATGCAGAGAAAGTGCATTACTCAGAGCATGCTTTACACTCTTGCTTAAAGTAAACGACGGAATATTAAACCGTTAAATTTTAGGCCTATACCAATACCGCAGTTGCAATGGTGTAAGACATAGAAAATACATTTCCCAAAGTTGGTCCCAGATTTGAATAATTTTACATAAGCAGATAATAATTCAGACAGAGCAACGGCATGTGAATAATCCCCTCAGCCATCTAAAAGTATTTTATATTCACAGCTCTTTCGGCCATTTTCAACTCTATCAGCTGAAAATCCGGTGCACCAACGTAAATTGGTATGAAGTTGACCAATTTAAAACTATCACAGGTAAACGGTCAGCAAAAAGGTGCTCGAGCACCTTTAATTATCGCTACGGCCAATCGCTTGAAACTGATATATCATTTGCAATCGCACCTAAAGTCAAACGTTTAACGAGATAAAGCTATCCCTTTAATGCGTGCCGACGTTCAATCTCTGGTTCCCACGACCGATAAAGCGTGACTATGGGAATTATGTTAGCGGAACCACTGTCTCCAACATAACATCTCCTCGGCCATACGCAACAGTATCAATTGTCTTCTAATACCAGCACTAGCAGTAATCCAACACATGTTGTGTATCATGAACGTTTGTATCTTTTATTCCTTTTTATTACCTGTTTACTATTTTTTTAAATATTGTGAAGGCAATTTTTGTGTTTTTAAGAAGACACAATGCGTAGCTCTATACTTCATTAAACTTGAATATGAAAAACGGTGACAGTATTTATCTTTACTTATTTCCCCAAGTGGTAGTTGACTGTTTATACGTCTGAAATAATAATTATTATTATACATGTAACACCCAACATTTAACTTTTTTATTCACTAGAGGGTCCAGACAAAGTTCAAGACATATAGTACTGTGCTGCAAAAAACGTTTTTAAGTGATTACATTTTATGGTCAAGTGGTTTTATTGATAGAAACTTAGTCATTTAAGGTTTCAAAAACGCCTAGTTTGTATTTTGCTCACGTACCAACACAATCAAGAAACGTTTGTCAGATTTCAAATTGCATAGTAAGTGTTGGGCTTTTTGTCACCGTATTTTTAAAACTGAAGATCCATTTTTATATGAAATATATATACCAAATATTAGGTGGATAAAATTACTTAAAAATTAAAAGTTATCCTCTATATTTCAATAAAATTCCAGTTTGTACAGCGTCATTACCTCTGCATCTGTCACGTTGTCACCTAAAGATTGTAATGCAGTAGCTTTTCAGCATCCTGTGGTAGTGGCTTAAAAAAACATAGTCCAAAAACGCAGTGCCGGATTAACCATTTTGAAATTAAAAAAAAGAAAGCCTTCGTTTGCCATTTCTAAAAAGATTTTGTCGGCATACATTTCATGAACGTAAAGCTAACATATTAACAAAAAGATCTCAACTTAGACATGAGAAATTAAAAGTGAGCGTTTTTTTGAGTGATTTCTGTATGCTTCAAGTAAAATATCTCAGTCTACAGCTACAGCATTTGTTTGAAAATTGTAACATTTCCCATTTTTCAGCCACATGGGTAGGCGGTGGCTACATCAATGGTACGGCGGAGGAGGTGGTAAAGAATGGTTTGGTTTGGTGCCAGGCGCCATGGGGATATGGTCTGGCTCTGGCCGTAGGTATGTGTAAACTGGTAGTTACTATGGTACAAGGAACTGCTACATTTCTGGCAGTAGCTCCATGTAGATGGATTACGGTAGAATGCTGGTTTGGAAGATACGGGTAAGTTTTTTGGCATCTGGTAAGCATCAACAGAATGTTGTTTAGTACCGTGGCAACCTGGAGATACGGGTAAGTTCTGAGTATGGGTATCCGGTCTTTGGCATCAGGTAAGCATCCACAGAATGTTGGTTTGATACCAAAGCACCCTGGAGATACGGATTAGTTTTGGCATCAGATGGGCATCAACAGAAGGTTTGGTACCAAGGCACTCTGGAGATGGAGATACGGGTTAGTTCTGAGTATAGGCCTTTGGCATCAGATGGGCATCAACATAATTTTGGTTTGGTACCAGGTTCCCTTGATTTAAATAAGTTCTAGATGGGTATTCGACTCCGCCATGCAGCTCACCATGGACGATATTAGTTGAGGTATGAGGAGAGATGAGCATCAACATTATATTGGGTCGGTACCTATTAAGGTAGACTTTTAATTTTTTTTTTTTTTCTTTTTTTTTTTTTTGGGGGGGGGGGCTTAAGTTTGGCTTGATTTTTTTTATTTTGAAATTTGACCAAGTTATTAATCAAACTGAAGATAAAGTTCCCATAAAATGCTAGGAAAGGTACTTCTCTTGTATGACGAATTTAATATGCCAAAACTATACAGTTTACGAATATAACATATACATGTAAATTCACCTTTTTCCTTTCAGGTGGCTTGTTTTTCGCCAAGCCGATGCGAGAGAGCGGATACATCACGATGCTCGACCCATTCCACGAGAAATATGGCCCTGTAATGGCGGCTCTTCTATACATTCCGGCTCTTATTGGAGATCTCCTGTGGGCCGCCGCTATTCTGGCAGCATTAGGTAAGATATGCAGGGTCATAGGCCTACTGATTAGTGCATGGGCGTAGGGAGCGAGGGCTAGAAGGCCTACCCCACTCCCACGTCCCCCACACCAGCAATCGATTAGTGTAGGATGCGGAGGGGTGGGTGGGGGCGGGCACTCGATCCCAGCCAACCCTTAAAATGGTTAGTCCCCACCAAGGTCCCCGTGCTTATATTTAAAATGTGCTTTTTGGCACATGAGCGTCATGAGTGTCATGAGCATGGTTGTAATGCTATTATAAATCGGTCGTGATTCGGGAACCTAAAGCACGTGACGCTATAGATGGTTTCTGATACGTGGTCTTTCTAGACTAGTCTGATCTGTCCCTTTCCCACATGTGTCACCTGAAAGTGAAGACATAAGAAGTGATCAAGTATACCAGTACTTCGGTTCAGCATCACGGATACCATTTCATACACCCCATTCTCATAGATTAGATCGACCTACATTGGATCGACCTAACTCCCTGGGGGTTCACGCTAAATAGCTGTCAGCCGGGCGGACACGAAAGTTAATTACCCCTTAAAGCTTGTAGTAGGCGGGGACGGACACTTAAGGGGGATTATCTGACAGTAATCTAGTGAGACTCCCCGCGGTGATAGATCGATCTAAAAGTTGTGAGAACAGAGCCATAGATACCATATCAAGTTCGTCAAACAGTGATCCTGGTTTACGATATTTACGGCACCTGAAGACTACCGTTGTGACCTGTCACCTTAAACGACTCCGTCACCTTACACAACTCTTTTCGTGTTGTCCACATGCTGTCTCTTTATAATCGTATTATGGGTGTTCTGTCATAAACAGTCGCCTTATTTTTTTTTAACGTAAATCCCATTGTATATGAAATAGTTTTGCATCTAATGTTATGATGGTGTAGTAAATTAATTCTTTTAACTTTGTATTTTATTTCATTTGTATTATATTTTATTTGTAAAGTCTACAGAACAAATTTTTATGAATTTCAGACTCTAAATAATCATATAATTTTGATATTGTTATTGATATTCATTTTTTTTGCCTACAGGGTCGTCGTTGACGGTCGTCATTGGTCTGGACAATACCATTTCCATTGTGGTCTCGGCCGCCATAGCTGTCCTGTACACATTAATGGGCGGACTGTATTCTGTGGCGTATACAGATGTGGCACAGCTCCTCTTCATGATGTTCGGGCTGGTGAGTCGATCGATTTCGATAACAACACTTGAAAGCGGCAAATTAGTGAATAGAACTGTCGTTAAACATCATTTTAATGATGGTAAAATGTTCGTGCATTTAGATTATCAAATACCAGGAAGTGCAGTTTCCAAACCTTTATTTTGCTGCTCGAGAGATTAATTTCGTTTTTTTTCTGAAAAGTTAGGTAAAAATTTGCGTGGATATTTTTGCGTTGTGTACCAAACTGGTGCTAACAATACATCTGCATGTACGATTTAGTGCACTTACTCTCGCTCCACGTATATCATTAAGATTTGAAATTTGTTTCGGCGCTAATTTACAACTTTTTTAAAGACCACGTGCCTGACCAAAGAGAATCAACCACCGCATCCAATTGAACTTTTTTCTGAACGCATTCTTTGATGTCAGGTCCTTGCCTTCCCCTTCGCTATGAAACACGAGGCGGTGTCGGACATAGCAGTGACAGCCCCTGACTGGTTGGGGTCTATTGATGTGGACAACACGGGCACATATCTGGACTCCGCCATGCAGCTCATCATGGGTGGTATCCCATGGCAGGTGAGAGTGATTTAGACAGTGGAGAGCTCGTGGTAGAGCCCCAACCCAATTCTCACTCAAAACCATTTTTATTAATTCATTTTAGTTTTTGTATTTTGTTTTATTTTTAAAGCATGTTACACTTTTCTGTTTTCCTTTTTGTCCTCTTTTCCTCCCAAAAGCACTCCTTTTTACACAATTTTCATAAACTGTATTTATTTTCCGTAACAAGACTACATCATTTTATTTTTGAACATAGGTTAAACTGCCATTTGCATTTTTTGTGTGCGTGCATGTTTCCACTTTTTTTAATGAGAAAAGATTTAAATACGGCATATTTGAGACATGGAAACATTGCTATTCAATCTCAAAACGGGCTCTTCGAGCCAAATTAAAGTGGCTCCTACTTTTGAATTTTAATTCACATATCCCCATTCCACACAGCTACTATCAACTATGTTATGTGCGCTTCTTTGCTATTTTACAGGAATACTTCCAGAGAGTAATGTCGTCTAGGACAGCACGTCAGGCTCAGTTGATGTCCTGCATGGCCGCTTTTGGTTGCATTTTATCAGCTGTACCGCCGGCTATTATAGGCGCAATTGCCGCCTCTACTAGTATGTAATAATTACCGCCTAACAAGCTCGTTACTTCATTGCGACTTCATTACTTAATTTAAAATGACGTCACGTGGTTGATGGGTGACGGATTTACAGGCAGTTGCATTATAGAGTATTTGGGCACTCTTTTTCTTTTATCTTTTTTTTTCTGGGGGGGGGGGGGGTAGGGGGTAGCACATGTTCACCCCTGTACTACCCCTGATCTGCTTTTGATCGAATATTTTTGATGTTTCAACTTGAATGCATCAACCAGTTTTTCAAAGAAAAGTACCGACATACTGTCAAATACAGAATGTCAAATAGGCCTACATATCTGCAGATTTACAAGTCCATCATGATCAGGCAAATGTTACCAGCTGTCATTCCGCTCTCTAGTGGCGATGTAATTCTACAATATAATCAACCTCATATTTCCAGACTGGACCATGACCGGCTACTACAGGGACTTCAACTTGACCAGCGTCCCTCCAGAAGAGTACAAGAACCTTCTGCCCCTGGTCCTGAACTACCTGACTCCGCCCGTGGTCTCCTTCTTCGGCCTGGGCGCCGTGTCTGCCGCCGTGATGTCTTCCACGGATTCCATTATTCTGTCCATGAGCTCACTGTTTGCCCACAATGTGTACCGTCCACTGAGGCAATTTTTGGGATGCGGGAGGAAGGTGAGAAGATTTCGATGAAGAATGAAAAAGCATTAATTAAAAAAAGGAACTGCTACCAAGAATAAAGTAATTTTATTGAATTAACAGCTATAATTAATTGAAGAAAATTGCTTTATTCTTATTACACAATACAGGGGATGAAATTATTCTTTTTGTTACCGGTAGGCTTGAATTCATATTTTGCCATTGACGTTTTAATCAATTTCACTCAGTCTGTACTTAGTTGAGTTATGTTATTCTTAAACCAACAAACCAATTTTTTATTTTGATTTCTATTTTATTGGCAGTCAATTGAATCGAAGTTGCTAAAAACGTTCAAATGTCTACAACAAAAGATGTGCTCACCTTGCACTTTGTCTTAACATTGAGGAATTAAAATTGTTTTCAGTCTTAATGAGTGAAGATTCTTCGTCAGGATAAGACTGCTCTTTATAATTGTTTTCACCGTGATTCGACAACTTTTCTGTCGCGCTTATGAAAACCATTCAAATAACTGTTTATCTGGCATCAAAAGTTTTCCTTAGTCGTTAAATCTCTTCCAGGCGTCTGAACGCGAAGTGACATGGGTGTTAAGGATATCAGTGGTTGTGTACGGTGCTCTGGCCACTTTAATGGCCATCACCATGAACTCCGTGTACGCGCTGCTCTTCATCTGCTCGGACGCTATCTACGTTATCTTGTTCCCGCAGCTGACCTGTGTGCTGTTCTTTAAGAAGTGCAACGTGTATGGATCCGCCATTGGGTAAATCTCTAGTTTTGTAATTTTTAAATCTCATGCCTTTGTTCTGCTCAGTCTTTCGGTTTTGTGTGTTTTTATTATGTGTATGGATCTGTCATTGGGTAAATCTCTTTTTCAGTAATTTTTAAATCCCATGGCTATGTTTTGCTCAATCTTTCGGTTTTGCATGTTTTGTCATGTGTATGGATCCGCCATTGTTTAAGTCTCTTATTCAGTAACATTTAAATATATATGGCGATGTTTTGCTCAATCTTTCGGTTTTGCATGTTTTTTTTATTAGCAATGGATATTCTGTTGCTGATATTGTACCCATATCTAGGTATGTTATATAGGGTGGTCCAAAAGCAATTGCCAGAGGTCATGAAAAATAGTTGTTAGAGTATGGTTACATTGAGTGATTCGACTGAGAGGATCTAACTGCGGAAAATGTTGGCTTACGCGGTGTAGGACAAAACTGATGAAGGACGTGACAACAACTTCTAGGCCTGCCCTTCATATTGATGTTATTTATGTTTGTTGATAATCTTTGTATAATCGTTTTGTAAATTTCAAGACTGGTACATTTTTGGAACACCCTGTATATACATTATGATGGATTTTAATGACAGCCGATATCGTTCGAAATATTATGGTGTGACAGCCATTCGCCAATCGTGTGGTACAATGTAGGGCAATAATCAAAAATAAATGTCTTAATCTGATAAAAGACATGGTCATATCCCTTTCCCATGTATTTTGTTTAAAATTTCAGCTACGTGTTAGGCTGGATTCTTCGTCTTGGAGCCGGAGAGAGTACTTTTGGAATCCCAACGTTTATATACTTCCCTTGGTATGATTACGAAAACAACATCCAGCGTTTCCCTTTCAAACTTTTAATTGTCATTATTACTTTCCCCACAATTATCTTGTTCTCATTACTCTTCGACTTACTCATCAGAAAAGAAATAATCCCCGATTTCCTGTCTTGTTGTCTGGCGGAAACTGAAGCAGACGACACGTCCAACAAGGAGCGGGAAGGAACCAAAGATCTTTCAGAACGGGAAACCAAAGACATACATAAACCTAGAGACAGTGACGTAGTAGGTTTGAGATTTAGAAAAATGGACACAGCCGACGTAGATTTTCATTTTGAAGACCCCAAGCGCACGTCTGGGATTTGGGAAATTAGAACTCCGGCAGCCGTTGAGGGACGGGAAGCCATGACTCTGAACAGTGATAACGCAGGCCGAGAAAGTGGCACCGCGGAGGTACCCTCTACCAGGATATCAGATTGATTTTTTTTGGTCACTAGATATTCACAAATATACCTCTGGTTTATTCATGATTCTATTCCCTGCTGTGTGGGGCTTTAAAACATAATCTCTTCTTCTGATTGTGATATTTGGCGATAAATAAATAAGCTTTATTACATTTTTCTGAATGCTTTAATTTCCAAACGAAAGAACAAAACCATTAAAGGTTTTATTTGTTTGTTGTCCCGATTAATTGTTAACATAAAATAAGTACCAGTGTTACTGGAAAGGTACATGTAGTCCGGGATCCCATATGATAAGCACAGTTTAGGGTTAGAGCGCATTCGGAGCCGAGGTTTAATGGCGCGTGTGGAGGCGGGGAGACCAACAGGGTAATAATCGACATTTCTTTTGAGTGGCACGTACGGCCATGTTTGATCCGTGGGTCTGTTAGTGTGAAGATCATCTGTTCTGAATGGGCTCTTAGACCCCATTTCCATAGATTAGATCGACCTACTTTAGATCGACCTAACTCCCTGGGGGTTCACGCTAAATAGCTGTCAGCCGGGCGGACACGAAAGTTAATTACCCCCTTTACAGCTTGTAATAGGCGGGACGGACATTTAAGTCGGATTATCTGAAAGTAATCTAGTGAGACTCCCCGCGGGGATAGATCGATCTAAATCTATGGGAATAGAGCCTTCGTCGGAGCACTGCGGTTAGTTGATGGGACGGATGCCACCTGCACAAAGTAGTGGGAAGAAGACTATACTGTTCCTACTGGATTACCATTCCTGTCACACCGGCATTTCGAAAATTTATATCACAAACATTCTGAGCATGATCCCCCCCCCCCCCCCAGTAGAATTTAAAGGTGAATAATTCTAATTTTGAGGATGAACTTTCTGAGCGTAAAATCCTCCTGAGATGTCTACCAGCTGCCGTTATTAACTTTAAACCGGCATAGTCCCTCCCATGTCGACGTTGTTTTATTACCACGCGGATCTAGCGTGATGTGTGTACTGGGTGGTCTCACTTTGGGAACGTTCAGATAAACCCATCATACTGGCTAGATCGATCCAACTCTGCGGGAGAGTCTCCCCAAGTGCAATCACTGTATTCGGCTTCCTCCTCGAGTTGCTACGGAGTAGTTAACTAATTAACTAGCTACTCAAGGAGGCGTGTCAGACAATGAATCTGATTACACTGAATGCACTTTAATAGCGAGAATCCACCGCAAAGCTGGTCGATCCAGCGTCGAACGGTGTTTAAACCTGAACACGGTCATAGTAAGCATTTAGCAAAGTTTAGTACGTCCTTTTCAATCTTGATTTGCCGAGCTTGCACGTATTGAATTTGGTTAAGGTTTATGAAATTGTTGTTGATGTCAGCATTTTGTTATGAACATTTAAGTGCGATGGTTATATTTATCAAAAACAAACGGAATCTTCTTTGATTAAATTGGTTTATTTTTTTCTTTGTTAATTTTCTTCTGTCAAATAAATATCTCGATTTTTTACATAGCAGCTTACCGTTATTTCAGTTAGTCATAAGCATTTTTAACTAAATCAATGACACACAAAGATATTGATATTCTATAAGATATTATGTATAAAATTCAACTACATATATGTGTTTACTTGATGTCAAATGCTTGTCTTGTATTAAGTCTGACGTTAAGATGATACGATGTCAGTCACCTTAAGGCTGCATTCACAACAGAAGTTCAACTAGTCCGCCGATAAATGTGGCGACCCACTTAAAAGCTTGCCGCCTTATTCTCAAATAGACACTGAACAGAATCCTGGCGGGGATTAAGCAACAAGCATTCAAAGGGGGTCAGCCATATTTGATGCGCAAACTAAAGGTAGTCAGTCCGCTGTTGAGAAAGCGGCCTAAGTCTTCGGTGCTTTTGTCGAAGTCGGCAGCAATGTATGTCACTTTGCACTAGCAGCTTTCTTTCTTCACCGAAGCTATATATTATAGCCAGTTCCAAAAACTGGTGAACAGAAACGGACCAAATCGGCTCTAAGCAAGTGAGTTGCTTTTGACTTCCGTGGGCTATCTCTCATCCTTTGCAGTCGTCGCTTTTTCCTCATAAGGAGATAGCAATGGCTTAAACGTTTGACATCTGTTCTTGCTGTGTCATCGGATCCGCAGTCGCCTGTGTCGCTTTTCTTTTGGCCTAGAGCTGCGTCAATGTCCCGAAACAAGCGGAAAAAAACTGACCAGTCTAAATACGTCATTTCAAGGGTCGTGGCCGGCCCGAAGTACTGGTGGCAGATCTTGATTAAGGACTTGGGTTTGTCCAATACCAATGTGTAGGCGCCGCAGAACGAGACTGTAAGGGCTTGATCTTTTGACAAGGCCTCCTGAATTTCTGCAGCATGTCCCTTGAACTGCCCCCACTCTTCCGAGTTGAAGCGGATCTTGTTTCTCGCACTGTCCGTCAATACAACCAAAAGTTCATTTTGTCTGTTGTAGCAGACTGTCGCACAAAACGACACACCGAAGGGTAAGAACGTTGCCATTCCACTGACAATGTGAACAATTGCTCGAGTAAAGGTGTGTGTGTGTGTGTGTGCGTCTTTCACGCGTATATATATATACAGGCGAAAATGCTGACGCGGACAAACTTTTTTGCGTGTCATGCTTGAAAAATGCTTGATCAGCAAGAAAAAATGCTGAGCTAAGGCAGAAAATTGCTGACGCAGACAAAATTTTTTGAATGTCATGCTTGAAAAATGCTTGATCAGCAAGAAAATATGCTGAGCTAAGGCAAAAAAATGCTGACGCGGACAAAATGTGCCTAATCCGGTGTGAAGAGTCTGAGAGTCCACTCCATTTTATTATATAAGTTAGGGTTAGCCTGATGTAAGTGGGGCAAAATCTAGGGCGAGGTCTGTGCAAATTTATGGGAACCGGACCCTCTGTCATGTGGAGCTCTCTGTCACGTTACACCGGCGTTTGTAAATGCTTGACCAGCAAGATAAAATGCTGAGCTAGGGTAGAGTTACATAAAATGCTGAGCTTGGGCAGAGTTACATAACACCTCAATGTACATAAAGGCCCCGAGACTCAAACGTATATCGGTCGACTAACTCTATAGACATGACCTAAGCAGAAAATTCTGTCATATATGGGTCAAGTGCACCCTGAGCTTCAGAGATAACTTGACACGATGAAGATAGGCTATAGTGAAGAGCTTAGTGTCAAGTTATCTCTGAAGCTCAGGGTGGTCAAGTGTGATAAGCAACGCGAAGTCGCGGTGTGTTTTTTTTTTTATTTTATTTTATTTTTTTTTTTTTGCAACACTTGGTCCTATATAATAATTAAGGGTGCATTGAGATTCTCACATCATACTAGCCAGCTGGGCCGGTCCAACTCTGCAGATATAATATAATATAATATGCAGCACATTGGCCTTTGCACTAACCAACTGTCGTGTATGCTCTACGAACCAGGTAAACACAGACAGTGTTTGTGTTTACAGCGCCACCTGTGAGCTTTGTGTTGTGAGATTATTGTGTATCGCTGTGTTCTGATTTTTTTGTTGTGAGTGTGTGTGCGAGGTTAGTGTGGGTTGTTGTGTTGCGACTTCTGTGTTGTGGCCCTTATTCGCTTTCCTTCCGCATTGGGTTTGGTTTTTGAATCTGGTGTTGATGTCAGCACTTTGTCATGAACATTTGAGTGTGATGATCCAGATATTTACAGACTTGAAACAAACAGAATTTTAGCATTTGCCTTTATCAAGCGGACCATTTACAGCTATACTCTCTGCTCAATGGTAAGTTTATGATGCTGATATGTGCTGTCCAGTGCTGATGAGTTAACGAGACACTGCACAGGGTTTTGGGGCGAAACGTTCATGCAATTTTTTTAATAATAATTGTTAAAACACAACAACAAAACATAAAACACTCAAAAAGTAGAATCTTTAACATAATAACAACAACAATACAATAACAACGTAATTTTCTGACATTTCCAACCAAATTTCAGTCCTAACCTACTACACACCCTGTTGAGTTCCAGACATAAATATCAATTGAAAATTTACGTTCTTTACAACACTATTTTCATTGTTTCTAATAAAAATGGACATTTTTAAAGGGGGTTGCAATTGACTTTTAAATGAGACAGAGTGTTGGGCAAATTCAGTGCTAAGCCTAAAAGGATATCCCAATATTCAAGACAGCGAGTGCCCTAGCTAATTTTCATTCTTTTAGTCCCGACATACACCCCATTCTCATAGATTAGATCGACCTACATTGGATCGACCTAAATCCCTGGGGGTTCACGCTAAATAGCTGTCAGCCGGGCGGACACGAAAGTTAATTACCCCTTAAAGCTTGTAGTAGGCGGGGACGGACACTTAAGGGGGATTATCTGACGGTAATCTAGTGAGACGCCCCGCGGTGATAGATCGATCTAAAAGTTGTGAGAACAGAGCCCTTGTCTCTGTCCGAATAGCTACCATACAGCAAGACATGAGATGTTAAGACCGCGTAATCTTTGTGTGTATCTTTAACTGTAGCAACCGGCTTTGCAACGTTAACGGCTGATTAGCGGCTGTGAAATGTCTCACACCAAGCCGTCATAGACAGCAGTTGAAATGGCGGCAGATCATTCAACAGATGGTGTTGGTATGTAGGCATATAAATAGAATGCATTCAATTTTGTATTTGCAAAACGAATGTTTGTGCCAGAATATCTTTGCGGGTGTGACGATAGGAGGATGTTGCTTACATTGTGAAGATTGAGCAAGTTTTTATGCACGGGTTATAAGCTTATGAAAAGGTAACCTCTCACGACCGCCGTATATCGCATCCTGTCAATTCTCAATAGTTATTATGACGTATAACCCTGAAGGTTTTTGAAGGTAGTTTTCATCTACTTTCAAGTCACCGTTTCACATTTCGACAGATGTATGCTGATGGCACCAGGTATATGTAAGTTTCTATTTGTTTGAGAAGTCAGGTTGCGGAACATTAACCTATGAAATTGTACATTGGCCTTTCTTTTGTATTTGCACTACCATGTAAAGCAAGTTAGAAAATATTCAAGTTAATTGGTTATTTTCAACAACAACAAAAAATAAATAGATAAATAAAAATAAATAATTAAAATTAAAAAAAATAATCTGTATGAATTAATTAATATATTTTTATTGAAAAACAAAGAGAAGACGTAATATCCAAACCGTTGTTTGTCCTGAACTTCATTATTAACAGTAAATGATAATAAACTTGTATTGCAGTGCATTGTATTGAATTAAAACTGAAAAAATATCATAGTTTATGCATTGAGTCCCCCCCCTGAGCGATTTTTCGCTAGTTTTGTAATGACGTCAGGAATTTATTAAATAAACTGGTGACTGTGTTCTAATACAGTGAAGAACCAGCTGGAGTTGAAATTTGGTACAACAAATAATGTGTCAAAAGTGCCATCACAATACACCAAAATCATGGAATATTCAGCAATAATAATTCACGTCTATGCGTATACAGTATATACGTTTACACTTGTTTTTTTCTGTAGTGACTTAGTACTTTATGTAAATGAGAGCATTAGATGTGATTTAATGTTTATCAATGTTCAAATGTTAAAAACTATATAGAAGTGCAAAAATATTAATGGGAATATGATTTGACAATTTTTCAACATGTGTGCATTGAAAAAAATAAGTAAGCGGAACCCATCTTAAAAATTATTATTCTTGATACTATCACAATTATAGTATTTGACATTGTAAGATATTTTTCGTGTCACTATTTCAGGCTATCAATACACAGAGAGTTTTTCAGTTACAGATGACGTTCAAGACCAGTTCAACAAGAACGGTTTCATCATCTTGAGGTAAGACTCAGATAAACTGAGTGAGTTAATCAACTCCCAGAACCCGTCCAGTAGGCCTAGTTCTTAAATTTAACCAATACATGGGGCTACAAAGCCGCGTGAATGATTAGAGTTTACAAGCCAAAATAGATTGACCAGTATTAAGATTGGGGAGGATATCACATATTTTAGTTTTTCTTAGAATTCCTTCTTCATTTCTGCGAACATTCCCTTTACCAGACAGCTCCTGGATACGGAAGAGATAACAAAGCTACGGGTTGCACTGGAGCAAGACCAGGGGCTTCGTGACCACTGCAATGCCGCAGACGACGGAGAGGGGAGAGCCGCCAAATCGACACTATGGAATTATGTAGCAGACGACATTACTGGGATCATAGCAAGGAGTGAGAAAGTAGCGGGGACCATGGAAAAGGTAACCATGGTAACATTGCAAAGTTGGAGGCAAAGGAGTTAAATGGGGGGAAATGAGAAGGTGTTGAGATGAAAAACTCTTGCTTAATAGATATATATAGTATCATGGAAATGTGTGACGGAAAGTCAGCTAATTTTGTCACAGTTAAAACAATGATTTCACAGAACGGTTCTTGTTAAAACACGCCAATTGTGAGATAAATGTACGTATACTTTTACTCAACATGGCCATTGATTATTGCAGTATCTTAATATACAATTTGCAAATAAAAACATGTAAAACATCTTCATAATTTCAGCTGTTGGGCGGCGAAGTGTATCACTACCATTCCAAAGTTATAATGAAGGAACCGTTTACTGGCGGTGCCCATATATGGCATCAGGATTATGGGTAACGGCTTTTGGTTGCTTGACAATAAGTTAGGATTGATTGCATTCGCATTTGCGTTCTGTAGAATTATTGAGCCATACTTAAGTTGGTTTCGAACTTGATTAATATAATTTTGCGTTTGCTGCCGAATTAAGCAGGTTTCGAACTTGATTAATATAATGAAAAATGGATCACTTTACAGTTGCTTTGCCTCTATGTTGTGCAATACTGTATGTGATTTTGGTGACCACTTTTGCCTACGACATGAGTTGAGGCATTGCGCATTTTCAGCCCCGTTGTAGGGTACATTTATATCATTTTATGATCATGGCACCATAAAAATATCAAACCTGTCACTGCACTCTTATGAAAAACTCCCGCCACTCGTGTGAACAAAGTTCATTAGATTTACCTAACCAAAACCACCAAAACATTTTACTAGTAGACTCTAATTTAGAATGTTTGTGACATCACAATAAACATTATTATAAAATGCCAAAATAAGCGCTTGTTGGTAAGTATGTTTAGCATAATTAATAGGCAAACAGGGATATATGCGACACGTGAAAAAAGTACTTTCGCACTGTTTTGTTGAAAATCACACTTGTATTGTTTCAGTTATTGGTATTTGAATGGCTGCCTGTTTCCTGACATGGGTACTGTATGGGTCGCAGTGGACAGGGCAGACAAGACCAACGGATGCTTAAAGGTACCGGGTGACAGGAAAAGTAGGATCAGTAATCCGTTCTCCATTACTTTGTACAGGTGATATTCGTCCAATATACGTACTAATCCCCAATACTCCGCTAAACCTCAACCTGTGCTTATCATATGGGACCCCGGACTTCCATTCGTAGGACTACCATTCCTGTCATACAGGGATACTGTGCGCGTTTTATTCATACATGTATACCGGAGTAGCACCATGACATTTGAGATTTTTAGATACCTACTTAACAAAAAATGTATTTATCGACTGAAAAAGTACTTTTATTTCCCTTTTCAACCAAGATTCTTCCTGGCTCTCACTTGGCAGGCAGGGTTGACCATGTGAAAAAAGGTATGCAGGCCGGGGCTGATGTAGCACGTGTCGAGCAACTCATGCAGGTATGCCCTATGACATATGTCCAGCTTGACCCGGGGGACGCACTGTTCTTCCACTGTAATTTACTTCACCGCAGTGAGCAGAATAACAGTCCCAACAGACGCTGGGCGTTCTTGATGTGTTACAACAGGCGGACAAACGATCCTGTGTATAGACATCATCATCCGAACTACACGCCATTGTTTAAGGTACGTGTGCAGAAATTTTGCTTCAGAATAAAAAATCAATTTAGAGAGGGACACCGCTTTTTCGGGTTCTGCTATGTAGGGCATAAGATAAGAGGTTCTTGTTGTTTGCTTTATCTTTAGCAGAAGAACTGCCTTTTATCGTTTATCAACGTGTTGCAATACCTTCCTTAAATATATATAATTTACACATTTAATGCAGTTAAGTATTTTGTTTTGAAATCTCTGAGCTTTAAAGTGATTTTTACGTGTGACTTTTCCAAAACAGTGTTCGGAAAAGAGGCATTTGATGCACACAAAGTCCTTTCTAGGTGCCAAATTCAAGAATCAAGCAATGTTCAACAATAACCACCATGGAAGGGAAAGGGTTCCACGCTGGTCCCAAAGCCACTATGCATATGGCCAAGCTAGAGGAACAGGGGAAGGAACAGTAAAACATTTAGATGACACTGTGACAATTTACGTCAAAAGCAAAAATGACAGGCAGGAGCGTAATTAAAAATAGTTGGTGTCTGTTTCTTCAAATACCGCTGACTCTTTGAAAATTAAACAAGAAATATACTAGTTTTTGTTTTATTTTTGTCAATCTGTGTCTACGAGTGTGTTTAGTGTTGCACAATATAAACGAAATTTAAGGGATAACAAGCCTTCACTTAGGTTGGAAAATTGTCATAAAACCTATTTCCCTGGGGTTAACGACGATTTTCAAGTACTTTCCAACATTCAATGTTAGCCGATTGTTATTACGGAGGGTAGCCTACATCTATGAACCGCGTGGCCCGATGGCAAACACAGACACAGAAAAATTCAGATAACAGCCGTTTTGGTGGTAAAGTCCAATTTTTTTAAAATATATATTTCTATGTGTTGTTTGCAATGTATATATTGTAATTTGAAACTCATAAGAATAGTGTTTATCCCATTAAGCAATGTTCAACGAAGATTTTGTTTTTTTGGTTGGTTTTATAGTTTCAATGACTCTTCATGACAACAAAAACATGAACGGATGCTTATATTTTCTCCTCGGACAATGTCATTCTGAAGAAGTGTATATAAACTGTCGCAAGATAAAAATATGTAGTGTTTTTTACAATATCAGTTTCTTTGAACCCACATTTTGTGTAAAGGGCGCGTGCGCTATGTTGGAATTCAGATGTCGACAGGAAAAGTTCCTTGTAACCATTCTCCTTGCAAAACTCCACGGCGGTTTTTACCAAATCACTGGCTATTCCAGTCCCTCTGCAATCTGGTTCTAGGACCATTCTTTTAAGTTCAGCAACGTGGTCAGTTTTCCTGTCAATGGCCACAGATCCCAAAATTCTCCCTGCGTTCTCGGCCACCCAAAACCTTGACTTGGGCCTGTTGTAGTACTCGCACAGGTTCGCCTTTTCCTCCTTAAAGGAATTTTCCCAACACCACCTACCAAAGAAGCCGTCGACCACGATTATTATTACCAAGAACACTACAGTTGCCAGCACCGAGAAAACGACTTTTCCTGTGCCGTACCACATTAAAGCAAATACATGGGCGCCAATCACGGCAGCCGGCAGCTGCGTCATGGCGCATTTTATCATTCCTGGTATGACAATATTGTTTAAATTAAGCATAACCATCTTCCAAACCCATATTTGTTCTGCTTTCCTGGAGGAAATTGGCCGAATTATCACCTTGCTGCGGTCTACTGATGGAGGCATTGTGCCGTTTGTTAATCTTGGCCCTTGTTTCATAGACCAGACAGCGCGACACGGTAAGAAACATTAGCAGGGCGTTTCGAAATATTACACAAAATTTACATAAGAACCATTGTGAATGATGTCTCATGGGAAACATCACAATGAGCTGAGATTATAGTCTCAACTAAAACAATCATCAACATCTCCTCTTTTTTTATAAAAGAAAACCATGCTCTACAAAGTAGGCTACTAATTGAGTAAAGGGGAGGAATGACAACTTTCAAAAATACAAATGTTACAAAGTGTGATCCTTCTGGAGCTTATATCTTAACTGGTTTAAGTCAGTGTTCCTGTAACTTTTGAATACTAGAGAACAAGATAATAAATGTTCTGATAATGTCAATGAAAAGTATGCATAAATTTGCACACAAACACAAAAAGTGCAGTGATTTCCGAAATCAATGTAAACAGTCTTTAGAAAGTCAATTCACTGTTAATTTACTTGTAAATGGCAATCTACAAGATAATTAGACTTTCTGCATGGGTGTGTTGTTCTTATGCATTAAGTTTCTTTTCCAGTCGTAGTAGAATCTGCAGTTCCCACAGTTTTTGTTTCAAATAGCTCATAGGTGTCCGCGGTACAGTCCTTATTCTTGATCAGTTTTGCAACATTCTTATTTGGATAACAAATGGGCTCGGACAATTGAGTGGTCTTACGCTTGTCGGAGATACACTGTTGGTAATACGCACTGTAGAGTTATTTGCGAATGCATGCTCCCAATTGTTGTCTATTCTGATTCTCCCATGATAAGGAAAACTGCCTCTCCGACAGGTAATGACTGCTTGAAATGCCAATCATTACATCTTGTAGACGTGTAGGAGTGCTGAGGGATTTACGTACCATAGAATATTTTATTTCCATTTCCAAATTAAAAAATAAAAAAGGTATGCAACCGAAAGTAACAGTGGTAACTTGTTCAACTTGGTAACATATTTTCATATATTTCATGTTATGAGTACTTTATGTTATATTGGCTTATCAGTATGCATGATTGGTTTATGTTAATTTCAAAATATAGTTTTAAACGTTTGTTTAAATATTCCTTACAGTGCCTGAACTAGGGAATGTCCAATGATTTCTAGCTAACCATTCTATATGCAAAAGTATTATTAGATTAACTTTTTTTAATTTTTCTGTTTTTATAAGTAAAAATGATATAGGTCATAAACTCACTTTAAGTCAGAATGTCGCGAGGGGACGAGGCTGAAACTCAGTGCGCTGTTTAGAAGACAATACAAAGTGACACCTAAAACTATAATTTCTTTATCTCCATTTCACAGTAGGGCCTCAGAGTCATTATGCACACGACGTAACTAGAGGGACTGTGAAAGGAACAGCGTTTACATAACACGCGCGGAAATTAACGTCAAAAGAAAAAAGTCTTGAGCATCTTTAGCTTCAAATTTTAGGAAATTCAACGAAAAGCATAATATCATTTTCACTTTATATTCTTTAAGTTTGTGCCTACACCTCTATAAAGTGTTGTTCAGCACGAAATATTTTGAGATCAAGAATAAATTCGCTGCACAGGTCCTAAATTAAAATAAAAAGCAATGTTCAACAGGGACTATCGTTTTAAACAAAATCGGGACAGAAAGCAACAGAAATTACTGAGTATTATATTTTAACTAATTGGGCTTATGCCAAGAAAAAACATGTGCAAATGGTTTTATCTTCTCCTCGGTCAAGGTCATTCTAAAAATATGGACATATAATGTTGTAAGATAAAAATCTCCAGGATCTTTGATAATATCAGTTTCTTTGAAACCACATTTGGTGTAAAGGGCGCGTGCGCTATGCTGGAATTCAGTTGTCGACAGGAAAAGCTCCTTGTAACCATTCTCCTTGCAAAACTCCACGGCGGTTTTAACCAAATCGCTGGCTATTCCAGACCCTCTAAAATCCGGTTCTAGGACCATTCTTTTAAGTTCAGCAACGTGGTCAGTTTTCCTGTCAATGGCCACAGATCCCAGTATTCTCCCTTCGTGCTCGGCCACCCAAAACCTTGACTTGGGCCTGTTGTAGTATTCGTACAGGTTCGCCTTTTCCTCTTGAAAGCATGCCTCCCATCCCCACATTCCCATGTAGCAGTTGGCCACACTAATTACTACCCAGAAGATTACAGTTGCCAGTACGGAGAAAATAGCATTTCCCGTGACGTACCACAGAAAAGCTAGGACAGGGGCGGCAATCGCGGCGGCTGGCAGCTGCGCCAGGGTTCTCTTTACCAATCCTGGTATGACATAATTTGTTAAATTACGAATAACCATCTCCCAGACCCACATTTGTTCAGCTTTGTTGGGTGAAATTGGGCGAATTATCACCTTGCTGCGGTCTATTGATGGAGGCATTGTGCTGTATGTTGATCTTGTTTCTTGTTTTATAGACCAGATAGCGCGACACGGTAGGAAACAGCAATAGGGTATTTGGAAACAATCACATAAGAACCATTTCTACTGACGCATCATGGGAAACATCACAATGAGATTACAGTCTCAACTAACACAATCAT